TCAATTTGATCATGAACATTGATCGCAAGTATAACTTTTTTATAGGTATTATATTAATTGGGTCCACCTTGGGGTATACTATTTCTAGGTATGAGATTTAATAATGATATCTAATGATATTGAGTGGCTATATCAAATTGTCAGAAAGTTCCCAGAGCATGGGTTGACTACTATATCATACTTATTTTGATTGCTGCCAGAAACCTCTATTTTAACAACATTTTAATATTTACAGCTTGTTTCTATTATTGGTTTAATTAAAACCAGTGCTTTGGTAATCCATGGCTCCATTATTGAGTCTCACCCTGGTCTATTTGCATGTGTAAAATGCCATTGTCTTTCAGCCTCGGTTCTTGCTTGTCACTGAGTCACCTGATCCTTTTTATTGCATGTACCCAGGATTCTGACCTTAGCTTGACAGATTTTTAGACAGATTCCTTGATAGTAGACTAAGATTACGTTTACCCGTTCACTCCAAGGCCCTGCTGCACACACCTTTATTTTGAATGTGTTGCTCATCTCTCTGGGAAATATACGGTAAGCATCAAAGACTCACTTATTCCTGCTTCACTTATCTTCATTTTCTTTAGGACTACTTATCCTTCCTACTCTCAAACTGCCTTATACTATTGCTGGACATAATACTCTGTTTTCAATTTGAAGTCCTAAACTACTGTTTTAAGCTATTTTCAAGAACAACATATTCACATTACAAATCTTGATTACAGTGTATCCAAAAGCCTTCAATTATTGACCAGCCTTTCTACAAATTCTTCACATTACTGGAACCTTATAATGGAGTTTAAGGAGGACCTTAGTATATTGTGCATATAAAGATTAGGTTCTAACTGTCATATCACCATTACGTTGATAATCCTGATTTACTTTATTTTTCATTACTAAGTTTGTTTGTTTTTCTTTAAAGCTTGTTCCATTATTAAGGTCTTAAGTGTCAAAAGTCTATGCAAAGTACTATAAAGTAAAATTTGATTTATTACAGAAGTTATAGTGTCCCTCCATTATTCCTAATTATTACCACCACTACCATAAACATGTGACACACATATATAGGATATATAAGTTGTTGTTTTTTAAATTCTACCTTCACCAATAATATGCCGAATAACAATTTAAAGGGACTCTCCAGTGCCAGGAAAACAAATTTGTTTTCCTGGCACTGCAGGCCCCTGCAGTGCCCCCTTCCACCCGCTATCCCATGTTGCTGAAGTAGTTAAAACCCCTTCAGTGACTTACCTGAATCCAGCGCCGATGTCCCTTGGTGCTGGGTCAGGCTCCGTCTACTCTCCTCCGCCACCGACAATGGACGCACGCGCACGCATTAGACCTTACACTTGCAGGGATAAGGGTGGTGGGAGTTGGCACCCAGACCACTCCAATGGGCAGAAGTGGTCTGGGTGCCTTGAGTGTCCCTTTAAGTGATGGAAAAACTGTATATAACTTTAAGCCTAAAATATGATATAGATCTCAAATATGTATATTTTTGCCAGGTTATTGTTAAGTTATTGTCTGTATTCTCTTGCCAAACAGAACATTGAAATCTGTTTTATGAAAAACAGATATTGAAACTGGTTAGATGTGAGATCCCATATTCGTTTGCATTCCTTGAACAACAACGCTATTTGTTATTTTTGGATTCATGGATAACACAGGGGTGGCGGTTTATAAAACATTTACTGACTATGGTAAACCTTTTATAACAATACTTCATAGGTAGAAACTTTTCATTTATTTTTATTTGTCTTTTTTTACTCTAATCATCAATGTTTTCAGTGCTATATAGATAAACATCCCAGTTTTCCAACTTGGAATTTCCACAGCTGGCCATCATGCACCCATGTCCCAGTTGGAACATTTCTGAAGCCGGCCAATGTAATTCACCCCTGTCAACCATATGTTTTTGAAAAGTAGACACCCTAGGGCATTTCACATGGTGGCATTTCAACACTTTAGATGCACTGCACTAATTCCACCACCAGTCTCTGTCAAACGTTTGGGGAGTCATTTTTTTTTTGTATTGTTATTTTTCACTCACACATTCTAATTTGGGCATAGATTCTCAGCTCCTGTTAGGTGTTACTGCCAAAGGACACCCCAATATGTACTCGGCAACATCTCCCGAGTACAGCGATACCACCCATGCATAGTTGTGTGGAGGGCTTGGGGGGGTGCAAAGCAAAACGTCTGATATGCGTTTTTTCAAATATTACATATCTTGTTTGCCTATCTTCCTTTTGGGGGCCTTATCAGATGTCCCAATGTATTTTCTTGCCATGAGCGTGCATATATTTGAAAAGTTGACACCCTACAGTATTGTATATGGAGTGTTTTGATGCCTTAGATGCAATCGCTTTAGTCAGAAAAATTGGAGAAAGTGTGTGGTGGTAACTGTTCAATTCATTTTTACACACACATTGCTTTTTGACTGTGAGTTAGGAGAGCCCGTTGTTGGTTATTGCCCCCATGCATAGGTTTGCCAGGATTTTGGGAAGGTACGGTTACAATTGTATGACTTTCAATTTGAGTTGAAATTGAGAGTATTTCTTCTGATAGGCCTATCTTTAGCTTGGGGATTATCACATTCCCCAGTTTTATATATTGCCATGAAAGGGTACATACTTGAAACGTAGACACCCCGAGGTATTGTATGTGGAGTGCTTTGATGCAACTTTTTTTAGCCAAGCAAAAAATAAAAAAATTTAAGAAAGTGTGTGGAGGTAACTGTTCAATCTTAAATTTTACACACACATTGTTTTTTGACTGTGATTTATGAGAGCCCGTTGTTGGTTATTGCAAGAAAACAAGGCCTCCTTAGTACACCCATGCCCCCCATGCATAGGGTAAATGTAACAACACCTCCCCACCCCCCCAAAAAAAGAAAAAACACACCAACAAAAACTGAACGGCAATTGTTAAAAAATAAAATAAAAATGGACCAGTTTGTGGTATCGTTTGAAGCAGTCTCCAATGCAGAGTCCAGGCTGTCCAGGGCAATCAGGACAGTGATATACACTATCTTTTCTCTGCCCCCTCTTAGAACAGATTCTGCATCTTTTTGGGGGATTCTGCTTTGCCGCAGTAGGGGGAATTTTAAAAATAAAATGTGTAGCCCCAACTCTGCTCTCTCCCATCACCGCCCGGGGAGCAGGTGCATCACGGTACAAAATCCCTGAAATGATCTGGAGCTGAAACTGTAAAAATCTCAGTTGCACCCCGGGGGTTTGCTTTTTTGAACAACAAAAAAGCGTTGTGGGTTGCAATCTGCATTAGGTAGATTGCAACCTTTATGTACCAGGCCCTTGTCTTTCGTATAATTAAGTAAGGCTGCAGCAGCTGATCTGCCAGATCAACCCCACCCATATGCCGGCTATAGGCCTTGATGCACACTGGCTTCCTTGTTCTCTCAGCTCTGCCACGTACAGGGACCTCCACAGTCCCCTCAGTGTGGATGGTGGTAAGAAGGTACACATCTTTCTTGTCTCTGTACTTAACTGCCAACAGCTCCTCTTGGCGCAGAGCTGAGGTCTCCCCCCCTTCTTAGCCGGGTGCGTGCAAGTTGTCCTGGGAAACCTGTGCTGTTCTTTTTGATTGTGCCACAAGCTACTGTATCAAAACAGTACAGTAGCTTGAACAAAGGGACACTTGTATAAAAATTGTCAGTATACAAGTGGCACCCTTTGTTAATCAGGGGGAATATCAGGTCCCAGACAATCTTGCCACTGGTTCCCATATGTTCTGGGCAACCTGGAGGGTCAAGGTGGCTATCCTTTCCCTCGTACACCCGGAGGGCCTGAGTATGCCCAGTCTCGCTATCACAGACCTTATACATCTTTACACCATACTTAGAGCACTTGGAAGGAACATACTGCTTGAATCCCAGCCTTCCTTTATTCTTCATCAGGGATTCATCCACGCATATATTCCTCTGCAAACCTGGCAGCGAAGTGGGTAATCAGGGGGCGGATTTTATATGAAGTCCATGAAATGCAGTATCATTTCATACCTCTTCCTCGACATACATCGTGAGTAAATGGGGGTAGAGCAAATGGGGCTACTGCTACTGGAGGGCTTCTTTATGATGTCCATCAGTGTAACGGATCGCCTGGCACCCCGACTGGGTACCTCCGTTAAAGGATGCTCCTAGCGCTTCCTGAGGACTCCAAGCACTGCAGCAGACACCAAAACCACTGAACCGTAGGAGCATATGAATGCTCTCAAGCATATGAATGCTGTAGACAGTTGAATAGGAACCATACGAATAGGTTTACTCTCCTTGCAGTCAAACTGGAACCGCATACAATAAATCCTTCCCCCAATAATGAGACGACACTTCACTTTGAGGGTTAATAACAGGAACTCCAGTGCTGGCACACCCAGCCTGGTTTTTATTACAATCCACAAAACATAGTACTGCCCACAGGGTTTTGCAGAACCACCAATAAACACATTACAACACATACAATGCAAGTACAGCAGCCAATCAGACACAATGGGACAATGGAAACACACCCAGCATATTCCTCCCCTCTGCTTAGGAGATAATTGAGTCAATTACTGTATCTACTCAATTATCTCCAAGCTGAAAAGTTACTTTTTGTACATTTTTATAACTTTGTGAGTTAACATCGTACATACATAAAACTTACATTTTCATAATCAATCCATTCAGGGGAACAACATATTAAAAAATGGCACGAATCAGACCAGGGGTTCAAAAGTTAAGGGAAAGTCCTTTGTGACTAAATGAAGCATGGCTTTCTGGCCCAAACCAGTTTCAGAGTCTTCTATCCTGGAGAGTAATTCAATTATCTCCCAGGACAGACACAAGACTCCATTAAGCACATGGTTGCAAAAAGACACAAAACACTTTAAAATACATAAAGTCACATTTTATACATAAAACACAGACATTTCACATATCCCCAGATAGCTGGGATCTGAGCGCACAAAACTACCGAATAGCGCTCAGATCCTATTCACACAGTTCAATTGCCATGGAGCCGAAGTCTTTAACTACACGAATGGGCTCCATGGCATAGCTATCTGGGTTAACACATTCACATAAAGTCTGGTCCATAGTCCAAAGGCAAGAGGCGGGCAAGCAGCCCCCTCCAAGGACACGTGGCGAGGCCGGTTTCGCCACATTTCTCCCCTTTACCATCCAGACTAACAGGGTATCTGACCTCCTGCCGGTCAGTGCCCTGGTTAGTCCAGCAACCCACCCACGAAGCACAAACAGCAATACAGCCCACCCACAATAACTGGTTACTACACCTGGATAAAATAGCAACTTGTCCATGTCCAGGTGCCTCACCACGGCTGTGCGGGGGGCTGGTAGACTGCCTTGGTGGGTTGCTGAGTGGGCAGAGACCAGCGGTACTCTGCCCGGGTGCCAGCGCTACCACTGAAGTAGCCTGGTTGGAGCCTGGTTGTGGGAGGGGGAGACCGACTGTCTCCCCTCTGGATACACTGCTCTGTGGCTGGGGGACAGGACCGACCGTCCCTACCCCTGGTGCTGCAAGTGCAGAGACTACAGTCCCATCTGCATAGTTGTGGGGCTTAACATCTCCCCTTGGTGGGTTAGGCTGCCGCTGGAGAGAGGGTGTAACAAGCTCCTCTCTCTGAACTGTAGACTGCCGCTGGGGAGAGGGGGTAACCTGCTCCTCTCCCTGACACTCTCTTTGCTGGTGGAGAGGGGGACCAACTGTCTCCCCTTTCAATATTTTGTCCTGCGGCTGGGGTGCGAGACAGACGGTCTCTGCTTCCTGGGGTACACACTGCCGCTGGGGAGGAAGGACGGCACCTTCAGCTCCCTGGGGTACACACTGCCGCTGGGGAGGAAGGACGGCACCTTCAGCTCCCTGGGGTACACACTGCCGCTGGGGAGGAAGGACGCCACCTTCTGCTCCCTGGGATACACACTGCCGCTGGGGAGGAAGGACGACCCCTTCGGCTCCCTGGGACTCACACTGCCGCTGGAGATCTGGGCCGACCGCCCAGCATCCCTGTAGGGCCGGTAGAGCGACCGCCATCCCATCTCCACCTGCCATCTGCGGGTCTTCCCAGGACCAGTCTGTGAGGTCCCTCAACATTTGCGAGTAAGGACCACCTGCTTCCGCACCTGGCAACTCCGGCTGCTGCTGGGGATCTGGGCCGGTCCCATCTCCACCTGCCTGTTGTGGTTCCTCACAGGACCAGTCTATGAGGACCCCTACTTCGGGTTCCTGCGGCCGCCTCAGGGGGAGACGGCTAGCCTCCTCGGATGCAGCCTCTACTCGGCTGCTGTAACACTCCTTCCGCTGAGCATACTCTCTCTCTTTCGCCAGCCGGAATTCTCGGGCCAGCCTTGTGTTTCGCTCGGCCGTGACCTGGTTCCAGATCACCCGGCGTACCTCCATGGGTAAATCATCCCCATACTGGGCCACTCGCTGCCTCACCTCGGCCATCCAATCATCGCCAGAGCATTCCATACTTGTCTGCTCCAAGTCGCTGGATACCTCTGCTCCCAGGGGCGCTGCACGTGTGCTAGCGTTGCCCTCAATTTGTAACTCCAAACGAACTGTGTCTCTGAGCTGCTTTACCTCGCACTAGGACGCCATCCCACCGCTTGCCACCAATGTAACGGATCGCCTGGCACCCCGACTGGGTACCTCCGTTAAAGGATGCTCCTAGCGCTTCCTGAGGACTCCAAGCACTGCAGCAGACACCACAACCACCGAACCGGAGAAGCATATGAATTCTCTCAAGCATATGAATGCTGTAGACAGTTGAATAGGAACCATACGAATAGGTTTACTCTCCTAGCAGTCAAACTGGAACAGCATACAATAAATCCTTCCCCCAATAATGAGACGACACTTCACTTTGAGGGTTAAGCAGGAACTCCAGTGCTGGCACACCCAGCCTGGTTTTTATTACAATCCACAAAACATAGTACTGCCCACAGGGTTTTGCAGAACCACCAATAAACACATTACAACACATACAATGCAAGTACAGCAGCCAATCAGACACAATTGGACAATGGAAACACACCCAGCATATTCCTCCCCTCTGCTTAGGAGATAATTGAGTCAATTACTGTATCTACTCAATTATCTCCAAGCTGAAAAGTTACTTTTTGTACATTTTTATAACTTTGTGAGTTAACATCGTACATACATAAAGGCAAGAGGCGGGCAAGCAGCCCCCTCCAAGGACACGTGGCGAGGCCGGTTTCGCCACAATCAGCATAGTCAATGCCCAGAATCTTTTAAATTCTGGCACATCGATTGGGGCCCCAAAAAAATCCAGAAAAACGCATGTCAAAAAAGTTATAAATTGGTTTGCATGTCAATGAGTGAAATAAGTATTTGACCCCTTCGACATAGTACTTGGTGGCAAAACCCTTGTTGGCAATCACAGACGTTTCTTGTAGATGGCCACCAGGTTTGCACACATCTCAGAGCAAACAGCAAACAGCAAAGAAACTGGCTATTGATGGGACATATTGCGTACCTGGCTCCAACAAGGCACCACCGAAAGTGACCCAAGATGTCATATTTTACAGATACAGAAGCCTAACCGTCCATGATAAAATCCAGATAATGTCGGCACTTAAAAATAAGACACCTCTAGCTTTTGAGGATGCATCCATTACATTCTACCAAGACCTGGTCAAAGCCACTCCTCTCTGTGGTAAATCCTTTGGCCCTATAACAAGCAGCCTACAAACAGCAGGCATTACCTACATCATGAAGATGAACGGATGCCTGGTAGCGAACCTCAACGGAACCTCACACACGCTCGCATCACTGGAGGAAACACCCACATTCCAGGAAGCATTGTGACTGACACCCCCGACCACCAAACCACCTGCAAGACCCATTATTGAATCTTGGGATCCCGAACGCACTGTTCCCTTCGTTCCGAGTATCATGAAATCCCAGGCTACGGGACCAAGACAGCAAATCAGAACTGAGTTGATATATGGCACCTGAATTCCTGTCGACAACTTCTCCTCTACTCAGGCCTTGGAGAGTCTAATGACTACAAAAAAGTTACTTTTTCTTTTTGTTTTACCTTAAGTTCAGTAGCTTTTTCCTGATATTATTTTCTCCCGCTAATGAATGACACACTCTTTACAACACAGCTCCAAATCATATCATCACAGTTCTGAGACATCCGCATAACACACTCTTAGTCAAATGAATCGAATGGCACCTTTCACACGCCGCTCCACTTCGCTGTCCACTGCTCCTTCGGTTAGGAGCAATTACACCCAAAGCACAAAGCAACACCACAAGCTTGAGTAGCCGCACTGATCAGCTTCATTCAAACTCCTGAGTACAGCAGACTTCACGCATATAGGACCACACACTGCTCTGCAAATACTACACTTCTTACTCACACTATCACGCACGCATATATGCTGAGACCTAAACTGCAATACCCCCCACTACTCCTTTTCAGCATATTAAGGCATCAGCCCCTAGGCTCCCTGTGGACACACTACCCACCCAAACAACCACCACAAGCTAAGTCACCTACTGATGCACCTAGGCCTATGTTTACATGTTATATACATATATAAAAATGTTGCAGATTACCAATGTTCCACACCCTATGCCTTGTTATCCCTCTACCTAACTACTATTGATTGAAGTATGGTTCATGCATTGCACTGACAAATAAAGAATTATAAAAAAGAAAGAAATGATGGAACAACATAACAATACTATCTGAGAGAAATGCTCAACAGTTATAGGAGATCAATTTCCTGATCCAATATATACAATGGCCTTGGATAAAGTTGTACATTTTATGTCACCATAGAGAAAAACTAAAGGAATACGTTATTTATTTATTTATTTATTTATTTTTAATCTGTATTTTTATTGTGGCATGATACAGACCAATTTTTGTATTACAAATAGAAGGGCAGTCCACATTTGGAATAATATAACATGACTCATCTTGGCATACAGGGTGTACTTGACAATTACAATACCATAGAGACAAACCAGATTTAAACTTTAAAGCCTTGTTAAAGAGATTTTAAGGAAACTGCAACGGTAAAATAGATTGAGATGCTAGTGAGTAAATGAACTATCTGACCAAAGGAAGGCTCAGACCATTACCATAGTGCGTAGCTCTGGGTTATTAGCTAAATCTAGAAAACACTGACTATTAGTTATGTAAGGGTACTCAAAGGCATATTACAACACTATTAAGGAGCAAGCAGATAGGCAGATAATTAAAGATAACTGTAGAGACTGTCCCAGGAAATTCCGTGTCCAAAGAAAAATTGGCATCATGGCATATGAATGCTAGCCATAGCCCATTGCCATTTTGCCAACTGACCCCAACCCTCGGAGATGACAAGTATTCTCCGACCGGCCTCCAAGTGTGTAAGCCATGAACCTTCCCAAACCCAATGTTATGTGTAGGCCATATTCTGTCCATGTAGAATATTGCATATTCTATGTTTCTATTGATTATGTATGGATGTCTGGATTGACATAAGTAACAGATGGTATCACAGTCACAAGGCTTTCTTTGTATGAGAAGTCTGGAATGTGGATTGGGGGTCTTTTCCTTATATGGCTAGGTTTATATTCTGATGTCATTATGGTCATATCTATATACAATAGTGGATAAAGAACCACAAGGTCTTGCTGCTTGCTGCATGGTGTTCTTCTTCTTCTCTAACTATGTAGACTAGTTCTCCCTTCAGCATTTACCACCTGCTGTTGAACATCCATAATCCTGTAACATCCTTTGTTGTTTTATTATGTATCAGTAACTGTAAGAATAAACCTGAAAAAAACTTAAGTCAGATAGTGTATTAGTATTTTTGGTTAATGTAAACGTATATAAACCTGGTGAGCCTGTTTCCTAAGAAGAAATATACATGAAATATTTATTTCAATCAACCTGAAAAAGACACAGAAAAGCGATTTTATTACATTTGACCAGCCAGCTAGTCTTCTATTCAAGTTTTGTTTCCACTTCCTGGGGGTAGAGAGAAGAATCAAGTTACAGACCTGAGTTTTGGAACTTAATCCACCAATCAGAGTGTTATGATTCTTTGGAATGTTCCCACGCTGTGTAATTCCCACAGCGTGGGAAAATTCCAAAGAACTTTCCCACGCTATGTAAAATGACAGAGAGCACTCTGATTGGTGGATTTCAAGCCAACCAATCAGAGTGCTGTGACAGGTAAATGTAGAGACTTACCTGTCAGAGTGCTCTGAGCCTAATTTCAGGGGGTGGCAAGGCTTTATAAGCCTTCCCCCGCCCTGCAGAGCTCAGTCTGCGCAGAGCCCTCCATGGGTGAAGATGGATTATTATTTTTTTGCGCTCTTTTTTTTTTTTTAAGTGCGTCGGTTATTATGGATTTTTATTTGGCCTTTTTTTGGGGATGAAAAAAGACGATTTTAGAAAAAAGAAAACATCAAATGGTAAGTTTTATTTTATTTTTACAGGTACTTAGTTAAAGGTCCTCCCCTCATTATTTTTAGGGTGAGGGGGTAGGTAGTGGTTAAATTTTTATTGAGTGCTCCCACCTGCCACTCAGGGTTGGGGGCCAGGGAGGAGGACAATAGGTCCCCCCACCCCCCAATTTTTATTCAGGGCACCCACCCATCTGTACTCATGATAAGAAATGAGAATGTTTTGGAGTCCATGTAATTCAATTTTAAACTGTATAATAATAACATTGAGCTGTAAATGACGTAAACCATTGTATTGATGCTGCACATGTTTTTTGTTTTAATGTAGGTAAAGCGTGACATATCCATGTTACAATAAATTAGAAAAGCATTCCTTTAGGCAACTGGACATCAACTGTTAAAATTAAACTTTTCATCTGACCTGCAAACTGTGATGAAAGATTCTACATAGTTAATTTCATACAGAAAATTAACAGACTTTAAAAGAAATAAATGCTCAACACTAACATACATATCAATTCATAAATATTCACGAAAAAGAAAACAGACAATGAAAAGTTATTTATCAGTTATGAGTGTATTAACCCCTTAAGGACACAGCTTCAAAAGCTTGTCTTGCACTTAAGGACACAAGCAATTTTTGCATTTTTTGCTGTTTGCGTTCAACTGCAATTTGCATTTTACTTATTTATTACACCAACACATATTATATATATAATTTTTTAAAGGACAAAAAGGGCTTTGATTTGATGTAACAAATACATATATAAATGCTTATTTATTATAAAAAAAATTGCAAATAAATGCAAAAAAAAAGGAAAAAACGTGTTTGTTTGTTTTAAAGTTTTTGCAATAATAATGTGTGCATAATTAGTGCAGGTTAAGGAAAGTAATTAAAATAAATTAATTTAGATCTGATTTACATAATATATAATGTGTCTAGGATTTTAAGTTTTTTTTTCTCATAGTTACAGGTCACAAAACACAAGGAGTAAAATAAACTTTTAATGTGGAGCGATTTTTGAATTTGGTATGTTTGTCTTGTAAGCTTGATAGCCATCAAAGAAAATAAAATTGCCACATAAAAGTGTCTCAAGCTGCCTCAGTTACAATTTAAAGAGAATTTGTGCAATATAAGAAACTTAGCTTCTCACTATGCACAGTTACTCTGTATCGCCAAAGAAACAATAAAACAACAAAACAGATTAGGAATAAAGAGCTACCAACACTAATCTACAAATCTGCTTTTTATTCCAATTTGGGGATGCTGGAAATCTATTATGAGCTAAGAAAAAATGCAGCAGTTCGATTACAGTTCAGCAAGTACTGCAATACATTTAAGAGGATCTGTGTTTACATTTTAAATGGCTTTTGTTACAATTGTAGATTATGCTAGCTTTAGTGTACCTATAATCTTAATTTTATTAATGACAGGAGGTGAGTATTTGCTTTAGTCTCTCTTTACTAGAACTCCACAGCAGCACAGAAAAACAACCAATCAGAAAAAAGTTAGGTACTATAAAACCCCCTTCCCATTGCATCATTTCCTCTTTCAAGCTGCGACAAAACAGAACAAAGGCAGAAAAATAATGGGAAGCAACGAAGTCCAGATACGATGAATACAGCAATGTCCAACGTCTGAGAAGAACTGTCAACCGCATAGCGTTGATGGACTGAAAATAAATAAGTCAATGTCCACCATCCACACCAGATAGTGCTGAAGGACTGGAAACTGAAATGAGAGAAAACCAGAATAGGTTGATTATCCAATGAAATGTATTTTGAATAAACTTGTAGATACCCAATGTAGCAAACAAAATTACCTTAATATGTAGATATCCCAACCCTACTTATGAAAAACAGACATAAGGACAGGTGACAGGTAGCAGAAACAACAAGCAGAGTTGTATACGTACCTGATAAATCCAAACTATAAAATTAAACAAGGGAGGGATAAGAATGGGTGGGAAATACTTCTCCGAAAATAAAGTTATATGCAGATAATAGTGTGGACAATACTAGCCGTATCCTAAGAGACCAACTGGACTGTGTAATCCACGGCTGCGGTCTAGAAAAGACATCCAAAGGGCGTCCAATCAAGGTCTCAAACTGAACTCGTGTGGTAAACGGTGGTCAACTATTCTGGGAATTGTGGATCCTGGAAAATTCAAAAGGATGGGACCAGAAACCGGGGTTGAGATTTCCATCCAAATACATCATCCTCTAAGAGTGCTAAGATGGCCGGATCCAATAGAGTTTAGGACCCGTATAACACAGAAGAGCCCTTACGTGTTGCAGTGAGAGTGTGAAATACTCTGATTACCATTTGTACAATCCTGTTCCATGCCCGACCTGTCAATATTCGTGTAGGGGTTCCTGGCCTACACGCCACCTACAAGATAGGGAATAATATAGTGAGACCCCTAAGTTCCTGTCTCATAGACTGTCCAAGCATGTATCTCCCAGTGTAGGCTTCCTTGATGGTAGTTGAATAGGAAGGCTAGTGAGAACCCAAACCAAGATGGTTCCCGTGATGGATATAGAGTCCGAACACTGTTCTCAAGATATGTGTTCAGAGTTGTAGGAGCAGTCCTGCCAACTTTATCTCAAGATTGTAAGGACCAGGGAAGCCAAGTCCTGATAATTTTGGTTTCTCCATGCGATCCATGCATACGGTGCACCTGAAGACCATTTATATGAATTTTCCAGTCTTGCTACTCGAGCAAGGCAGTGCCCGTTTGCCCTATGTAGGTCTCAGGATCTCATGTCACCCTGACACGGGAGAATAGTCTGCACAGTTTGTACACAATGAATATCTGAAACAGAGTGCAATGTCTGTTTGATATAGCACAGGTTATACCAAAACCTGTACTCTTGTAAAAACTGAGGCTCCTCCTTAGCTGTACTGTCTCCCGGAATGTGTGTACATAAGTGGGAAACCTCCCCCACTAATACCTCTGAGGGTAGTTCTCATGTGGATTACAAGATGGATCCAGTCAAACTATGTATACCTTGCCCGATCAGGTAGCCCTCTAGAACGAAATCAGTAGGGCGGTCATCATATTTAAATTGGATGTAGGAGGGATGCCCCTCTATGCGTCATAGTTGACCTGTACAGGTACAAGCCTGTGTGAGGAACAAATGTACGGCACCATAGTGCGTTGAGTGTATGAGAGAGTCGCACTCTGTAAAATGTGATCACACTCTGAGTCCGCGCACGGTTGGTGGTACGAGCGGGCCGCACCCGTTAGAAGTCAAACATAGAGTCTACCTCTGTGTCCGGTTCCTTCTATGAGAATGAGTCACTCGGAGCATGTCCTCTATATCCAGCTCAGTATCGGGCCGAGGTTGAGGGAGGGCCGCGCCCTCTAATAATGAATCAGTGTCCGATTCGGTAAATAAGAGGGGTTCGCCCTCTACTCTTGAAAATAAAAATATCAGTCTCGGGCCGAGGTGAAGGAGGGCCGCACCCTCTGTAATCCAAACCAGAGTCCAGTAGAGACTCAGGGTGACCAAACGTGGGGTTACACCCTTATTTTATATAAGCAAAGTATACAACCTCGGGCCGTGTCCGACCTTAATAAGAGAAAGGGGTGATGAGAAAAGTACGTTTCGGAGCTGAAGATGGTAACTATCAACGGACCGCCCGGATCCCGTGCGTGCGCGCGGGCTCCAGGATGACCGTCGGTAGTCTGAGGAAAGCTGGAGACGTTCTCCGCAATCCACAAGCGCCCGGGAGGTCGGAGGAGGTCAAGTCAGGCCTCTCAACGACCCGAGCGATAGGACAATAGAAGGCACGAAAACAAAGAAACGACCAATGAAGTAGAAAATGGAAAATACGTACCTCGGAAAGCAGGTCAGATAGCAGACTGGAAAAAACAAATCAAGTGAATCCAGTTGAAAAGGTCAGGAGCTAAACATGACATAGAAAAACACTTCCAATACCTAATATGGCATCTGAGCACTGTTCCCTGCTTGTGCGAAATTCCCCTTGGAGATGTGTCGTCGTTGGGTATAACCCGTAATTGCGTGCCCGGGAATTTTCATAAAAACTTTGCCCTTCAGGGCATGAGGTGTAGGGCCTTCACCCCTCCAATCACAGTTAGATGTCCATATCCTGGTGTCCTCTTGGATAATATGGCAGCAGTGCCTGTCCGGACACCCACCTAGAGGGTACTGAGCTTACTTCAGTGATATTCCCCCAGGTTTGTGGTCCAAAGGGGGGTTCGGGCACAGGTAGAGCAGGTCAACGATGGGCCCAGTTAGAGCAGGCCAGACAGAAGGGCACAGATGTAGTCGGTCAATCAAATGGGCACAGACATAGCAGGCCAATCAATGGGGCACAGACATAGCAGGCCAATCAATGGGGCACAGACATAGCAGGCCAATCAATGGGGCACAGACACAGCAGGCCAAACAATGGGGCACAGACATAGCAGGCCAATCAATGGGGCACAAACATACCAGGCCAAACAATGGGGCACAGACATAGCAGGCCAAACAATGGGGCACAGACATAGCAGGCCAATCAATGGGGCACAGACATAGCAGGCCAATTAATGGGGCACAGACATAGCAGGCCAATCCTGGGTTTCATATTAAATGAGTAATGGGGACCTCTGAGTTTGGCAGAGTCCCCTAAATATCTGTAAATCCTCCGGGTATCCTGTGACCTAGTACCCTTAGACACTAATCTTAGACAGCGTACTACTGTGTGAATAAACCGTAACTGGGACTGGCGGTCCCTAAGTGCCCAGCAGGCAACATAGAGGTAAAACCAGTTGTATTGGGTTTAAGCTGGACATGTTCCAGTGAGTGTCCATAAAATCAAGCTCTGCTGAGCAATACCTTCTTTAAAGTGCAAATTGTAATGCACATGTACATACAGATCCGTATGAGATATCTTATCTTTATTGTAGGTCATCATCATCATCGCACCGCCTGAAGGGTATTGTACTCATGGTCTCTTCAGGAGTAGGGCAAAAACAATTGCCAACTCAATGAATCTTCCCAAGAAGCCTGATAAGATAGAATAGTATCGGCATAGACAGGACTGACATCTACCGTCAGTGAAACTCACAGCAATTCGTGATATCTATAGCACTAAGACTCACAGCAAACCGTGCTATATACACTGTCATAGAACTCACAGAAATCTGTAATTTATTATACACTGTACTATAACTCACAGAATCTGTGATATAAGTATATACTGCCAAAGGACTCACAGAAATCCGCGATATATATACACATGGAAACTCACAGTAATCCGAGAAATCTGTGATATATCTAGGTGGAAACTCACCGTAATCTGTGACATATCTACATGGAAATTCACAGTAATATGTGATATATAGACATGGACACTCACAGTAATTTGTGGAATATATACTCATGGAAACTCACAGTAGTCTGTGATATATAGACCTGGAAATTCACCGCAATCTGTGATATATCCAGGGCCGGACTGGGAGAAAAATTCGGCCCGGGCATTTTTTTAACACAGCGGCCCACTAAAAAGGGGGCGGGGCAGAGGAGGTGTGTTTTGTCATCACCAATGACAAACACGCCTCCTCTCAAAGTGAGCATGTTGGTTCAATGCTCTTCCAGGGCAGACCACGCGCAGAGCTCTGCTGAAGAGCTCTAGCATGAGAAAAAAGTCCTGTATTTGTTCTGCACAGTGCAAGAAAATTTAATAACATGCTTGCACTGTGTTTCCTTGCAACTTGTCTCTGGTGTCTCTATAAATGGATACCAGGAGACAAAAAGGCCAGGAAAGAGTATTGTGCATGTGTTTGGAGCCTGCTTGTGGTATTGCGTGTGTGTAGAGTGAGCTGGTCGTGGTGTGGTATTGTGTAATGAGGTCGGTTTTAGTCGTGTTGTGTTTGTGGTGTAATGTGATGCATATGTGGCTCAGGGACCCCCTCCCGCCCGGCTCTGGAAAGGGGTTAAAACTTACCTTTTTCCAGCGCCGGGCGGGGAGCTCTCCTCCGATCCGCCACGTCGGCTGAATGCGCACGCATTCAGCCGGTCGCATAGGAAAGCATTTATAATGCTTTCCTATGGACGCTTGCGTGCTCTCACTGTGATTTTCACAGTGAAAAGCACGCAAGCACCTCTAGCGGCTGTCAATGAGACAGCTGCTAGAGGCTTTGGGGGAAGGCTTAATCCATTGATAAACATAGCAGTTTCTCTGAAACTGCTATGTTTATAAAACAATGGGTTAACCCTAGAAGGACCTGGCACCAAGACCACTTCATTAAGCTGAAGTGGTCTGGGTGGCTAGAGTGGTCCTTTAAGAGTGTAGTGTGTGCGTGTATACATACATACATATATATATATATATATATATATATATATATATATATATATATATATATATATATATATTTGGAAGTATTGTGTATGTGTGTGGTGCAGTGTGTTGGGGGGGTTCTGTGTGTATGTGAGGGGTGCAGTATGTGTGTGTGTGAGGGTGCGGTGTATGTGTGTGTGTGAGGGTGCGGTGTATGTGTGTGTGTGAGGGTGCGGTGTGTGTGTGATGTGTGTGAGAGTGCCGTGTGTGAGTGATGGGTGTGAGAGTGCCGTGTGTGAGTGATGGGTGTGAGAGTGCTGTGTGAGATGGGTGTGAGAGAGTGCTCTGTGAGAGTGCTGTGAGAGAGTGCTGTGTGTGTGAAAGTGCTGTGTGTGATGGGTGTGAGAGTGCTGTGTGTGTGAGTGCTCTGTGAGAGTGCGCTGTGTGTGATGGTGTGAGAGTGCTGGGTGTGAGAGTGCTGTGTGTGATGGGTAAGAGAGTGCTGGGTGTGAGTGATGGGTGTGAGAGTGCTGTGTGAGAGTGATGTGTGTGATGGGTGTGAGAGTGCTGTGTGAGAGATTGCTGTGTGTAATGTGTGAGAGTGCTGTGTGTAATGTGTGTGAGAGTGCTGTGTGTGATGGGTGAGAGTGCTGTGTGTGATGGGTGAGAGTGCTGTGTGTGATGGGTGAGAGAGTGCTGTGTGAGAGAGTGCTGTGTGTGATGGGTGTGAGAGTGCTGTGTGAGAGAGTGCTGTGTGTGATGGGTGTGAGAGTGCTGTGTGAGAGAGTGCTGTGTGTGATGGGTGTGAGAGTGCTGTGGGAGAGAGTGCTGTGTGTGATGGGTGTGAGAGTGCTGTGGGAGAGAGTGCTGTGTGTGATGGGTGTGAGAGTGCTGTGGGAGAGAGTGCTGTGTGTGATGGGTGTGAGAGTGCTGTGTGAGAGAGTGCTGTGTGTGATGGGTGTGAGAGTGCTGTGTGAGAGAGTGCTGTGTGTAATGTGTGTGAGAGTGCTGTGTGTGATAGTGCTGTGTGTAATGTGTGTGAGAGTGCTGTGTGTGATGGGTGAGAGTGCTGTGTGAGAGAGTGCTGTGTGTAATGTGTGTGAGAGTGCTGTGTGTGATGGGTGAGAGTGCTGTGTGTGATGGGTGAGAGTGCTGTGTGTGATAGTGCTGTGTGAGAGAGTGCTGTGTGAGAGAGTGCTGTGGGAGAGAGTGCTGTGTGTGATGGGTGTGAGAGTGCTGTATAAATGTTATTGTGTGTGTGTGTAGGGGGGGTAAATAAAAAAAATAAAAAAGTCATTATTTCCCCCCCTCCCTTCTTACCTTTAGCCTGGGAGGGGGGGGGTCCGGCACGCTGGCAGGCAGGGTGGCGGTGTTCCCTGGTGGTCCTCGTGGGTGAGTGAACTCTAGCCTGTGAGGCTAGAGTTCACTCTCGCGAGATCCGGCGCGTTGCCATGGCAACGCGCCGGATCTCGCGAGAGGAACCCGGCGGAGCTGCAAGTTAGTGCTCCGCCGGGTCCTCGCTCCAGCCTAGCTGGCTGTCTCCCTCCCTCCCCGCCGGCGGCCGCATGTGGGCCGGTCAGGGAGATCCTTGATCTCCCCACCGGCCCGTCGTGACAAACAGCGGGGCCGGCGCTAGGAGAGTGCCGGCCCTGCATAGACCGGCAGGGGAGATCCTGTGATCTCCCCTGCCGGCCTCGGCACATGGCCACCGCGGCCCACCGGGCATTTGCCCGGTGTGCCCGATGGCCAGTCCGGGCCTGGATATATCTACATATGGAAACTCACAGTAATCTGTGATCTACCTACCTGAAACTCACAGAAATTTGTGACATATACACATGGAAAGCTAACAGAAATCTGTATAAATAAACACATGGAAAACTACCAGTAATCTGTGTAAATAAACACATGGAAAACTACCAGTAATCTGTATAAATAAACACATGAAAGACTACCAGTAATCTGTGTAAATAAACACATGGAAAACTAGCAGAAATCTGTGTAAATAAACACATGGCAAACTACCAGTAATCTGTATAAATAAACACATGGAAAACTACCAGTAATCTGTATAAATAAACACATGGCAAACTACCAGTAATCTGTATAAATAAACACATGGAAAACTATCAGTAATCTGTATAAATAAACACATGGCAAACTACCAGTAATCTGTGTAAATAAACACATGGAAAAGATCAGTAATCTGTACAAATAAACACATGGAAAACTATCAGTAATGTAAAGGAAATATTCCCCAAAGAAAAGAAAAGAGCCAGAAAGGCACATAAATCTCACAACCAAGCATAATTAATAACAATCATAAATAAATCACACTAAATCCCAAAGCCACCCACTATAAGCAGGAGGCAGTGGTACTCTGACCTGTACTGACTGCGGAGCAGCAAAGAAAGAGGAAATGATGCAATGGGAAGGGGGTTTTATAGTACCTAACTTTTTTCTGATTGGTTGTTTTTCTGTGCTGCTGTAGAGTTCCAGTAAAGAGAGACTAAAGCAAATACGAAGCCTCCTGTCATGTTATAAAATTAAAGGGACTCTGTGCAATATAAGAAATATTGGCTTCTAACCAGAGGTGTAACTAGAAACCATGGGGCCCTGGTGCAAAAATTGTCTTGGGGCACCCCCTATACATCCCCCACACACACACACATTCAGATAAACAGATACACATGCAGACACACACAAAGATACACACATACAGACACACATATATGTAAACACACACATACATACAGACACACACACATACACACATACACACACATACATACAGACAAACACACACATACATACAGACACGCATACACACACATACATACAGACACACATACACACACATACAAACACACACATACACACAGAGACCCATACATACATACACACACACACACATACATGTAGACACACACATACAGACACATATATACAAACACACAGACACATACATACATACATACGCACACAATACAGACACGGACACATACACACAAACAGGCATACACATATACACACAGAGACACATACATACAGACACACATACATACAGACATACACATATATATACAGATACACACACATACACACAGACACATACATACTGACAGACACACACATACAGATACATACATACCGACACACATACACTAACACACATACAGACACATACAAAATGTTTAAGTCACCCTCCTGTTTCTTACCTTTTAGATGCAGGAGGGTGACTTTCCCTATGGTACAGTGGTGGTTCAGCCTGATGGGAGTCAGAGTTCCCACTCTGATTTCCTCATCTCCTTCCTCCCCTGCGGCTCTCTCTGATTGCTGGGATGAAGTGACCGGGGCTGTCACTTCCTCCCAGCATCTGATGTCATCACAGGGGAAATTAATTTCCATCGGGTGGCTCTAACAGCATGGGCCACCCTATGGGCTCCTGAACATGCGGCCCCCGGCAGTTGTACCATGCGGGCTGGGGCCGCAACACATGGCGGTGGGCACCCAGTCGCAGGGGTCCGCAGGGCGGCCGGGCCCCCTGGAGTGGAGTGCCCAGTCGCAGCTGCAACCCCTACGACTGAGGTAGTTCCATCACTGCTTCTAACTATATACAGATTTTTTTCTATAATCTAACAAACAGCAAAATAGATAAGGAACAAAGAGCTATCAATACCAATCTGCAGCTCAGCAGTCTTAAAATACAAGAACTAAAAAAGCAGTTTTAAAGTCATTGCTTCCAAATCCTTTTCTTCAGGGACACTGGAAATACATTACAATTCAAAAAATAAAATTCAACAGAATAGATTAAGAACAATGAGCTATTAATACCAACTCTAGAGCTGTAGTATTAAAGTTAAGAGCAGTTCTCTCCCTCACTCTCTATCTCCTACAGTCTCAATATGGCTACAAGAAAATATTCTAAATGAGATAATACATCTAAAAAAAAGAAGGCTGAAAAACGGCCTGATTTTTTTTTTTTTACTTGCTACTTTGAAAACCCATATAACGGATACGTAATTAAATCTCACGGACTCTTCAATAATTGTCAAAGAAAGGGAGGCTGAAAAATTGATGATAGGAAACAACGCAGACCTTGATCCGCAGACAACCAGTATGGATTCCCTGAAAATATACTTAGAATAAAAATTTGATCAACTCCAAAATGAGATCGAGAAGAATACCAGGGAAATAAATACAGAATTTAAACGATTAGAACAAAAAAATAGAAATAAATTAAACCCAATTGACACAACCTTGTATTAAGCTGGATGCAGCAGAGAACACAATAGATATATTGAATTCCAAACTTAAGAGATTGGAAACCAACTTGCAAGATCTGGAAGACAGGCAGAGGTCTGGAAGAGGTATCACTGAAGATATCCCACTGCAAGATTTTGGAAGTTTACATAATTATCAGATTTCACTTGTATAAATTCAAAGAAAAATTTATATTTGCCTTTAGGGACCTGACATCCATCCCAGAGGAATGTCGACATCTTAAATGTTTCCCTGATCTATCAAGAAGTACTAGAAAATTCTGAAGAGAGGGGGGATGCTTAGGAAGGAAGGAGGGGATGGGAAGGAGAGAGAAGGAATTATTGGGGGAAATAAAAGAGAGAAAATTCAATAGAAATACGAAAATTTCAAATGCTTTCCTATGGACTGTCTGAATGCGCGCACGGTACTTGCCACGCATGCGCATTCCGCTCCACTCGGGAGCTGTTGTCGGCGGGGGAGGAGAGGTCACCAGCCCAGCGCTGGATTAAGGTAAGTCTCTGAAGGGGTTTTAACCCCTTCAGCGCCAAGAGAGAGAGACCCTGAGGGTTTGTTTTCCTGACACTTTAACTATACCACTATTTGAATTACCTGAAAACACACACAATAAATATAAAGGTGTTCTTACTACTGGCTTATTTGGGTTGGGCACTAAAGTTAAAATTAAATAACCAAGAAGGGAGAAGGGAAGTGAATAAAGTAAGGAAAGGGCAAACCGAATTTAAAATAATACAATTGCACTAAAATACATATTCATATTTTTGAAAACGGTAATGGGTATTTCCAACTATGATTGTAAATTCTATAAGTTTAGAACTAACTAAACACACATATTTTCTTCAGCATAATTTATTAAAAAACATAAACACTTAAGTAGTAAAATAAGTATTGATACTAATCAAATAAGCACATTTACACTTTTTAGCATAATTATTTAACCCCTTCAGGACGGCTGACGGACGAGGTCCGTCACAGAGGGGAGACCCTTAAAGGACCACTATAGTGCCAGGAAAACATACTTGTTTTCCTGGCACTATAGTGCCCTGAGGGTGCCCACAACCTCAGGGTCCCCCTCCCGCCCGGCTCTGGAAAGGGGAAAGGGGTTAAAACTTACCTTTTTCCAGCGCTACGGGAGGTTTCTGCCTCCTCTTCCTCCTCTGTTACGCCCGCCGGGTTGAATGCGCGACGCTGCAAGAGCTGCGCCACAAGATTCGTCGGCCCCAGGAGCATTTACATTTCCTATGGACGCTGATGTGCGGCTCTCACCGTGAAAATCACAGTGAGAAGACGAAGTTTCTAGTGGCTGGCCGGAATGACAGCCACTAGAGAATTGTGGGGAAGGTTTAACCTTATTGATAAAACATAGCAGTTTCTCTGAAACTGCTATGTTTATTAAAAACTGGTTAACCTTAGTTGATGCAGAATCTAGATCCACCTCATTAAGCTGAAGTGGTCTGGGTGCCTAGAGGTCCTTAATGATGAGTGACGGACCTTGTCCGTCATGTGGTAAAATTAACCCCGGATCGCCGCTACCCCTCAGGGGTTCAATTTATTTAATTAATTAATTTAAATATTTTATAACTATATGTTTTGCGAGTTGGGGTGGGTGGGAGTTATGTGAAAATGGGGAATTTACTGTTAGTGCTGCTTACTGCTAGTTAGGGGTTAACGGTAAAAAAAAAGCTTAGAAAAATGTTAAATCTGTAAAAATGTTTTAAGAAAGTTTAGGAAAGTTTAAAAAAAATTAATAAGCAAAACAAAAGTTTAAAAACTAGTTTTTAAAAGTTAAAAAGTTAAAAAAAGTAAAAAAATACATTTTAAAAACGCTCATTACCACTACAACTGGAACAAACTAGAGAAAAAATTATCCCACGCCAAGGTTCAAAATATGCCTTTTGAATTACCCCAGGGTGTATTCTTTAATAAATAGTATGTGTTTGTGGGGAAGTTTCAATAACCAACTGTCTAAACTACTCCAAATTGGAACATGGACACAGCGTAAAACTTCAAAGTTAGAAAAAAACTGAATGGCTGCGTCTCAAATGCGCCCCTTCAACACAGTGGCAGATCCGGGGGGGGCAACGGGGCAATTGCCCCCCCGAGAAATCCGCCGGTCTCCCTCTCCCTCCCCTGCCAGCAGCACATGCAGGTGCTAGTCCTGCAATGTACCTGCGGACCGGGGGGAAGATCAGAGATCTCCCTCCCCAGTCCGCAGGCACTGTGCTGGCGGCCAGCGGGGGAGGGAGGGAGTGAGAGAGAGGACCCGGAAGCTAAGGCTGCAGCTCCTCCGGGTCCTCCTCTCGTGAGATTTGAAGCGTTGCCGCGGTTACCACGGCAACGCTCCAAATCTCGCGAGAGTGAACTCTAGCCCTGTAGCGCGAGCTAGAGTTCACTCTCCCCACTGGACCACCAATGAATCGCCCACGGACAACAGACCACCAGAGAAATGTCCCCCCTCCCCCCCAGTAAAGGTAAGAAGGGAGGGGGGACATAATGATTATTTATATTGACTTAAATAAAATACACACACACTGCCCCCCCATACACACTGCCCTTCATACACACACACTGCCCCCCCATACACACACACTGCCCCCCATACACACACACTGCCCCCCCATACACACACACTGCCCCCCATACACACCACCATACACACACACACTGCCCCCCATACACACACTGCCACGTGCCTTACCCCCCCCCATACACACGCCTCATGCACCCACACTTCCAATCCCCCCATACACACACACTGCCCCCATACTGCCCCCCCATACACACACTCTACACACATACACTACCCGATACACACACACTGCACCCCCATACACACACACTGCTCCCCATACACACACACTGCCCCCCATACACACACATATACACACACATACACTGCAACTGTTACACACATACACTGCCGCCCTCACACACACTACAACCTTCACACACACACACACTGCTCACACACTGTCCCCCTCACACACACACACACACACACTGCACCCCTTACACATTGCACCACTCACACACACCACTGCTCCTATGCCCTACTACTGACCCATTTCCCTGCAGACCTCAGGTAAGGTGTCAAACTGTTCTTAAACGGTTTGACTACTTACTCTGGGAGGGGGTCCCGGCACTATTGACACCATAACCACTACACTTAGCTATGGTGGTTATTGTGTCTGGATTATTTATTTAAATAATCTACAAGTGCCCCTCCCGAGATAAGGCTCTGGATCCGCCACTGCTTCAACATCCACATATACCTGGCAAAGGTACATACGGGGGTATTGCTGTACTCAGCCGACATAGCTGAGCAACATATGAAGTATTATACAGTTGTAGCACACATAAAGTTTGCAAAATATACTGTGCAAACTCACTTTGTGTGTCAAAAAGGCAGAAAAAATGCTTATTACCACTACATCTGGTACAAGCTAGCGGAAAAATGATCCCAAGCTAAGGTTCAAAATATACCTTTTGAAATACCTGTGAATACTGAAAAGGACAGGTCTCCTATGTGGCACTGTAGCTTCACGAAATAGTGCCAAAGACATACAATGGGAGTGTCCTTTTACTCAGCAGATGTAACTGAACACAAAATAAAACTTTGTACAGAGATAGCACACACCAACTTTACAAAATATACATGAGAATTTCTTTGTTATAAGTTTGTGTCTCAAAAACCAAAAAACCCCACAATTTTACTCCAATATTTAGCAGAGGTTGGCGGTGAAATGCCTACGTAGAAAGTGTCAAAACAACCATAGGTAAATAGCCCGTGATGTCTACTTTATATAAATATATACTTTTGTGTGGCAATTTTGTTTTCTTTTATGGCTATTAAGCTTACAAGACAAACATACCAAATTCTAAAATCGCTCCACATTAAAGGTTTAGTTTACTCCTTGTGCTTTGTGACCTGTAACTACCAAAAAAAAAACCACATTATATATTCTGTAAATCAGAACAACTAAATGAATTTATTTTTAATTACTTTTCTTAACCTGCACTAATTATGCACACATTATTATTGCAAAAACTGTAAAAAAAAAAACACAAAATTTTCATTTTTTAACATTTTTCTGTATTTTTTTTATAATAAATAAGCATTTATATATATGTGTGTTACATCAAATTAAAGCCCTTTCTGTCCTTTAAGAAAACGATGTATAATATGTGTTGGTGCAACAAATTAGTAAAATGCAAATTGCAGTTGAATGCAAACAGCAAAAAATGAAAAAAATGCTGTTGTCATTAAGTGAAAGACAAGCTTTTGAAGCTCTGTCCTTAAGGGGTTAAGCACATTAATCACTTAAGGAGTAAAACAATTGTTCAGATATAAATTGTAACTGTTCTGTTATGACTTTCACCACAAGGGGTTGTGTTTGTCTTTTCATAAATCTAATAAGGTTTGGATAATTAAATGTTTTGTTATCTCTTACACTGACAGGAACTGGTCAGTTGGGGAGGTATTATTACCCACTAGTACTAAATTACCCACAGAAATGTCAGCTAGTAGTAGAACAATTAAGGGTCCTTAAGGTGTCGATCGGATTCTTACAGGAGACTCTTTGGAAACACAATGCCCCTGTAACGGATCGCCTGGCACCCCGACTGGGTACCTCCGTTGAAGGATGCTCCTAGCGCTTCCTGAGGACTCCAAGCACTCTGGCAGACACCACAATCACCGAACCGGAGAAACAAATAAATTCTCCCAAGCATATGAATGCTGTAGACAGTTGAATAGGAACCATATGAATAGGTTTACTCTCCTAGCAGTCAAACTGGAACAGCATACAATAAATCCTTCCCCCAATAATGAGACGACACTTCACTTTGAGGGTTAAAACAGGAACTCTCTGTACTGTCACATACAGTCTCTTTTATTCCCACCACAAACATAGTACAGCCCACAGGGCGTTACAAAACAACCAATCAATCCGTACAATACACCCAGACACTCCCACACAAAATCCTCCCCTCTGCAGGTGATATGATTACTGAACACAATGGGTAATCTCATTATCACCGGCAGAGGAATACAGTTTTTACACAATATTTCTAACTTCTAAAATATACATGTCACAAACATAAAACATACATTTTCATAATCAATCCATTCAGGGGAACAACATATTAAAAAATGGCACGAATCAGACCAGGGGTTCAAAAGTTAAGGGAAAGTCCTTTGTGACTAAATGAAGCATGGCTTTCTGGCCCAAACCAGTTTCAGAGTCTTCTATCCTGGAGAGTAATTCAATTATCTCCCAGGATAGACACAAGACTCCATTAAGCACATGGTTGCAAAAAGACACAAAACACTTTAAAATACATAAAGTCACATTTACACATAACACACAGACATTTCACATATCCCCAGATAGCTGGGATCTGAGTGCACATTATTAGATGAATGGCACTCAGATCACACAAATAAGCCTTTCTGCAGGGGAAATAAACAGTTTAACCTGCAGGGCCATAGTCCAAAGGGAGCAGGCGAGCAACCAGGCTTCTCCAGTTCACAGTGGCGAGGTTGGTTTCGCCACACTTCTCCCCTTTACCAACTAGACTAACAGGGTATCTGACCTCCTGCCGGTCAGTGCCCTGGTTAGTCCAGCAACCCACCCACAAAACAGAAACAGCAGTACAGGCCACCCACAATAACTGGTTACTACACCTGGGTAGAGGAGAAATTTGTCCATGTCCAGGTGCCTCACCACGACTGTGTGGGCAACTGTTAGGCTGCCTTGGTGGGTTGCTGAGTGGGCAGAGACCAGCGGTACTCTGCCCTGATGCCAGTGCTACCACGGAAGTAGCCTGGTGGGAGCCTGGTTGTGGGAGGGAGAGACCGACTGTCTCCCCTCTGGATACACCGCTCTGTGGCTGGGGAACAGGACCGACTGTCCCTATCCCTTGTGCTGTAAGTGCAGAGACTACAGTCCCATCTGCACTGTTGGGGGGTGTAACATCTCCCCTTGCTGGGTTAGGCTGCCGCTGGAGAGAGGGTGTAACAAGCTCCTCTCTCTGAACTGTAAACTGCCGCTGGGGAGGAGGGGTATCAGGCTCCTCTCCCTGACACTCTCTCTGCTGGTGGAGAGGGGGACCAGCTGTCTCCCCTTTCATTATTTTGTCCTGTGGTTGGGGTGCGAGACTGGCGGTCTCTGCTCCCTGCAGGACACTCTGCCGCTGGGGAGGAAGGACGGCACCTTCAGCTCCCTGGGGTACACACTGCCGCTGGGGAGGAAGGACTGCACCTTCAGCTCCCTGGGGTACACACTGCCGCTGGGGAGGAAGGACGGCACCTTCAGCTCCCTGGGGTACACACTGCTGCTGGGGAGGAAGGACGGCACCTTCAGCTCCCTGGGATGCACACTGCCACTGGGGAGGAAGGACGGCACCTTCAGCTCCCTGGGGTACACACTGCCGCTGGGGAGGAAGGACGGCACCTTCAGCTCCCTGGGTTACACACTGCCGCTGGGGAGGAAGGATTGCACCTTCAGCTCCCTGGGATACACACTTCCGCTGGGGAGGAAGGATTGCACCTTCAGCTCCCTGGGGTACACACTGCCGCTGGGGAGGAAGGACTGCACCTTCAGCTCCCTGGGGTACACACTGCCGCTGGGGAGGAAGGACTGCACCTTCAGCTCCCTGGGATACATACTGCCGCTGGAGATCTGGGCCGACCACCCAGCATCCCTGTAGGGCCGGTAGAGAGACCGCCGTCCCATCTCCACCTGCCATCTGTGGGTCTTCCCAGGACCAGTCTGTGAGGTCCCTCAACATTTGCGTGTAAGGACCACCTGCTTCCGCACCTGGCAACTCCGGCTGCTGCTGGGGATCTGGGCCGGTCCCATCTCCACCTGCCTGTTGTGGTTCCTCACAGGACCAGTCTATGAGGACCCCTACTTCGGGTTCCTGCGGCCGCCTCAGGGGGAGACGGCTAGCCTCCTCGGATGCAGCCTCTACTCGGCTGCTGTAACACTCCTTCCGCTGAGCATACTCTCTCTTTCGCCAGCCGGAATTCTCGGGCCAGCCTTGTGTTTCGCTCGGCCGTGACCTGGTTCCAGATCACCCGGCGTACCTCCATGGATAAATCATCCCCATACTGGGCCACTCGCTGCCTCACCTCGGCCATCCAATCATCGCCAGAGCCTTCCATACTTGTCTGCTTCAAGTCGCTGGATACCTCTGCTCCCAGGGGCGCTGCACGTGTGCTAGCGTTGCCCTCAATTTGTAACTCCACGAACTGTGTCTCTGAGCTGCTTTACCTCGCACTAGGACGCCATCCCACCGCTTGCCACCAATGTAACGGATTGCCTGGCACCCCGACTGGGTACCTCCGTTGAAGGATGCTCCTAGCGCTTCCTGAGGACTCCAAGCACTGCAGCAGACACCACAATCACCAAACCGAGAAGCGTATACCTTCTCTCAAGCATATGAATGCTGTAGACAGTTGAATAGGAACCATGCGAATAGGTTTACTCTCCTAGCAGTCAAACTGGAACAGCATACAATAAATCCTTCCCCCAATAATGAGACGACACTTCACTTTGAGGGTTAAAACAGGAACTCCCTGTACTGTCACATACAGTCTCTTTTATTCCCAATCCACAAACATAGTACAGCCCACAGGGCGTTACAAAACAACCAATCAATCCGTACAATACACCCAGACACTCCCACACAAAATCCTCCCCTCTGCAGGTGATATGATTACTGAACACAATGGGTAATCTCATTATCACCGGCAGAGGAATACAGTTTTTACACAATATTTCTAACTTCTAAAATATACATGTCACAAACATAAAACATACATTTTCATAATCAATCCATTCAGGGGAACAACATATTAAAAATGGCACGAATCAGACCAGGGGTTCAAAAGTTAAGGGAAAGTCCTTTGTGACTAAATGAAGCATGGCTTTCTGGCCCAAACCAGTTTCAGAGTCTTCTATCCTGGAGAGTAATTCAATTATCTCCCAGGATAGACACAAGACTCCATTAAGCACATGGTTGCAAAAAGACACAAAACACTTTAAAATACATAAAGTCACATTTACACATAACACACAGACATTTCACATATCCCCAGATAGCTGGGATCTGAGTGCACATTATTAGATGAATGGCACTCAGATCACACAAATAAGCCTTTCTGCAGGGGAAATAAACGGTTTAACCTGCAGGGCCATAGTCCAAAGGGAGCAGGCGAGCAACCAGGCTTCTCCAGTTCACAGTGGCGAGGTTGGTTTCGCCACAGCCCCTATGCTGAAGAGCTCTTATTACCCAGTTGTTGTCTCAACGGCTTATAAATCTAAGAAACGCGGTGTAGCTATTCTAATCTCAAATAAGATCACAGGGTAATAGGGGAGAACAGCAGATATATCTTTTTAATTTGCGAAATTCATGGCAGAATTTATTTGTTGCTCAACATTTATGCCCCTAACAAGCATCCGCTGAAATTCTTAAATAATCTTTTAACTAGGGTGGAGAAACTGGTGCAGGGAACTCTATTCATAGGAGGCGACTTTAATTCTATCATTGATTCAGTTATGGATTGTAACAAAACCCCTCTGTGATTGCAGTAGTTATGGTGGTTTATTTAAGGCACTGGTTCTGCCCCTTTAATATATATTGGAACCGTTCTACACCTTTGAAGTGGCACTTCGGATACAGCCGAAGTACCGAAGTAGTCGAAGTGGCCGCCATTTGACATACGAACACATGGCGGCGGCCATTTTAATTCAGTCTAGCGCGTTCAGCGGTGTTTGGTTGTTGAGTTCATGGAACTCAAATTGGACATGCTACGGCACGAACACCGCTGAACTTTACCTTCTCCAGAACTTTGACCCTTCGATGGGAGTCGAACAGCATTCGACATTACGAACAACACTTTAAACTTGGTTATTTGCACAAACTACCCCGTTCGTGCAGTCGAACTGAACTATTTTGGGCATGAAAGCCATGCTTGTGGTCGGTCAAAAGAGACTTCCATAAAACTTTTGAACCCCTGCTCTGATCTGGGTGATTTTTGGATATGTCGTTCGCCCATATCAGAGCTAACCAGGGATGTATAATTTGTGGGGATATGTTTGAGTTTTGGCGTGTTTCTGAACTTTGGGTAAAAATTTATATTTTCTGCCTGTGGATAATTAAGTTCCTATTGGTTTGTGTCCCTTTTGTCCCTGTGTTCCATCAGGTCCAGAGGGTGTGCCTCTGGCCTGAAAATGTGTATAAAAGAAATGCGTTTGTGCTCAATAAACCAGACCTTCTTACCCTCAACTCGCAGCCTCGTCTCGTGTTGTAGGGAACTGCAATATCACTGCTAGCTCTTGTTGTAGCTCTCTTCAGCTATATAGCTATACCAGCTCCACAGGATATCGGGTCGGAACTCTGCAACACTCTCTATCTATGGGAAGAAGGATGTCCAGACGGTAGATACCCTCACTCTATAGGGGTAACCGTCACATGGATAAAAAAGTTTCAAGCCGGCCAAAAAAAAAACATAACCCTATATGAAGATCTGACACCGAGTTTCAGAATATATCAAATAAATTCAAACTTTATGACATCTGGAGAGTAATGCATCCAGATGAACTAGATTTCACCTTTTTTTCTAACCTACATATGTCATACTCGCGGCTGGATTATTTTCTCATAAAACCATTATTGCGGAGCTACAAGACATACCATCAATATCTCCACTTAAATGCCCATGTAGCTGAAGCAGCAGGTCAATATCCAAGACACAATCCCCCAGTAACTGGACGACATGCAGTTCTGGGAGTCAACTGATTTTTATTAGGCATAGCACACATAGTTTAAAACCCCCAACAGCCTCATTTACATACAATAGAGAACATAGATTACTATAGTACAAGGAAGGATGGAGTCAGACAATAGCAAGGGCTGATGAGGGATAGGGCAGCTAGTTTAAACAGGTCTGGCAGTGTTCCTGGGACAACGCCCTGCTGGGAAACAATGGGACAGGAAAAAGGGGGAGGGGAAGAGGCACAGACAAGCAATACATTTAACATATCCTGCACCTATAATGGGCACAGAGTGAGCAAAATACAACAAGAATCTGGGGACCCACACATAATTGGTTCGGTAAATGAACCCCTGTAGCAAGACCAGTTCTCTCCAGACTACCAAATGAACAAATAGTTGATTTAAATTTACCTTTTTCTGAAAAAGAAATAGTGAATGTAATTGATAATCTCAATACCAAAAGAGTTGTTGCAGGCCTCCATCTCTCCAATCTGAAAAGTGGGCAAGGATCACACTTCCACCGCAAATTTTAAACCAATATCCTTGATCAATTCCGATATTAAAATCTACTCCTCAGTAATAGTTAATACATTAAAACCTCCAAATCCATTCCTAGTGCACCAAGATCAAATTGGCTTTGTTCAGGGCCGTCCCTCAAATAGCAACACTCGACGATTATTAGATCTAATTGACCACTCGTTCAGGAATGGTGTGCCCCTGCTGGCCCTGTCTCTGGTTGTCGAAAAGGCATTTGACAGGTTCAGCTGGGGATTTATGGCTAAGATTCTAGAGAAATTTGGATTTAATGGTCCAATAAGGTCAGCGACTGTGGATCCAGGCATTTCAGCCGACTTGCTTAGAATTTCAAAATGGTACCAGACAGAGCTGTCCACTGGCCCCTTTGCTTATCTCTGGAGCCATTGGCAGCCAATATAAGAGCTAATTCTCAAATTAAGGGCGTTACACCCTGTTCCAAATTATTATGCAAATGATATTTTTCTCATTTACCTAACTGATGTAAATAACAGTCAGCATAATTCTCATATTATCAACTATTAAGAGTACAATTCACATTTTATTGAACAAACCTCCTGATAACAGTATTTTTTTAAAACATAAAAAACATACAATGTACTGTTCCAAATTATTACGCACAGTACGTTTCAAAACACTTTATAGGTTGTAAAGAACTGAGAATTGTCATTTGTTGTGTTTGCAGCATATTTACTGAAATCAAAAGCTATTTCAATCAAACTTTTAACAACATTTTGACTTTTTAAACATTTTAACAGGTCACGTTACATTTTAATATAGGACTCCTTATTTGATAGCAGCTTCACAAGTCTTGCATCCATTGAACTTGTGAGTTTTTGGACAGTTTCTGCTTGAATTTGTTTGCAAGATGTCAGAATAGCCTCCCAGAGCTGCTGTTTTGATGTAAACTGCCTCCCACCCTCATAGATCTTTTGCTTGAGGATGCTCCAAAGGTTCTCAATAGGATTGAGGTCAGGGGAGGATGGAGGCCACACCATGACTTTCTCTCCTTTTATCCCCATAGCAGCCATTGATGCAGAGGTATTCTTTGCAGCATGAGATGGTGCATTGTCATGCATGAAGATGATTTTTTTACGGAAAGCATAGTTCTTCCTTCTGTACCAGGGAAGAAAGTGGTCAGTCAGAAACTCCACATACTTTGCAAAGGTCATCTTTACACCTTCGGGGACCCTAAAGGTGCCGACCAGCTCTCTTCCCATGATTCCGGCCCAAAGCATGACTCCACCACCGCCTTGCTGACATCGTAGCCTTGTTGAAACAGGGTGGCCGTCCACCAACCATCCACTGCTCCATCCATCTGGACCATCCAGGTTTGCACGGCACTCATCTGTCAACAGGACTGTTTGAAAATTAGTCTTCATGTATTTTTCTGCCCAATGCAGCCATTTCTGCTTGTGAGCATTGGTTAGTGGTGGCCAAATAGAAGGTTTATGCACAGTTGCAAGACTCTGGAGGACTCTACACCTTGATGTCCGTGGGACTCCAGAGGCACAAGCAGCTTCAAATATCTGTTTGCTGCTATGTAATGGTATTTTAGCAGCTGCTCTCGTGATCCGATGCATGGATCTGGCAGAAATCTTCCTCAATGTGCCTTTATCTGCACAAACTCGTCTTTGCTCTGAATCAGCCACAAATCTCTTAATAGTGCTATGATCATGCTTAAGTTTTCGTGAAATATCTAATGTTTTCATACCTCGTCCAAGGCATTGAACTATTTCACTCTTTTTGGCAGCAGAGAGATCCTTTTTCTTCCCCATATTGCATGAAAATGGTGCTCGGCTTAATAATGTGGAACACACTCCTTTAGTAGTTTTTCCTTAAATTGGGCTCACCTGGCAATCTAATTATCACAGGTGTCCAATATTGTTTTCAGTGATCAAAAGAGCCCTGAGACACAATGCCATCCATGAGTTAAACTGAAAAACTAAATATTTAATCTTTGTGACACTTAAATAGAATTTGCATAATAATTTGGAACAGGGTGTATATTGGATGACACTGACCATAAGTTGTACTTATAAGCAGACAATATCATTCTTACCCTGACAAACCCAGTAGCCTCTTTGGCCACTTTGGTTGCAGAAGTTAAAAGGTACAGTGATGTTTCTTATTATAAAGTCAATATGGCAAAATCTCAAATAAATCTCAGTCTTACGGTAAGGGAGATTCTAAGATTGGAATATCCTTTTGCATGGACCACAGATGGCCTTATGTATTTAGGTATTTATTTTTCTCAGAATATAACTAAAATGTGTTTTAAAAACGTTGAGATTAGAGTTGAGCGGACATCTCGATGTTCGGGTCCGGCGTGTTCGGCAGAAGTTTGAAAAAAAGTCCAGGTTCGGGCTCAAACTTGACCCTGAACGCCATTGAAGTCAATGGGGACCCAAACATTTGGCCACAAAAATGCCTCTAAAAAACTCCTGGAAAGGGCTAGAGAGCTGCAAAAGGAAGTAAAATGAGGGTAAGAGTAGGACAAGTGCCCTGCAAACAAATGTGGATAGGGAAATCACTTAAAATAACATAAAAATACAGCTGAGCCATAAAATAGCACTAGATGGAATCTTTGATTTTAGCTTTGGAAGAACATAAATCGAAATCTAAAGCATGGCTGTCAGGAGGATCACAAGAATTATCCATTAGAGAGAGGGTTGGAGTGCAGGGCATTCTCTTTCATTGTTCAAACTGAACTCAACTCCTGATGCATGGAGAAAAGGCCTTCACAAGTCTCTGCTATTGTGTACATAGTTTATACTAAGTGAGGAGGCTGAGGTTGAGGAGGTTGAGGAGGCGGTGACCGTAGCGGTGTAGGTGGAAGCAGCGGTGTAGGAGGAGGATGAGGTAGCCAACACTGTTTTTTATGTTTTGTTTTGTTTTTTAATTGTGGTAGCCCACAAAATTTTGGGACATACAAAAAAAAGAAACATTTGCGGCCTGTGGTGCATTTCTTGCAGTCCTGATGCATGGAGAAATGCTCAACTCCTGTTGCATGGAGAAAAGGCCTTCACAAGCCTCTGCTAATGTGTACCTAGTTTATACTAAGTGACCCATAGGTTGAGGAGCCACTGACCCATGCGTGCTGCAGCTGAAACTCCACTATCGCCTGCTGCTCGCACAGTCTCATGAGACGGTGAGCGGGAAGGCTGAAGTTATGCTGCAGTGCAGACAGGCGAGCAGTCACATCCTGTTCCAAGTTGCGGATCAGTCTGGTGATGGCTTCTGGTATCCAGTACTCTTTTTACTGAAGCTGCATCAGGGTCCTGGTATGTGGCCACACAAATGCTGGTGCTCAACACCGGGGGGCGTGCGGTTACCCTGCAACAGACCCTGCTAATCCATTCCACATTGTGACTCTTAACTTTAACATCAGGCAAACTGGGTCCCGGTCGTCCGATCGCCACCCAGACAGTGTCTGGGTCCTGGTCACCGGACTGCCCACCTGACTGTGAAACTACGAATGGATCATTAAATCTGGTACAAACCCGAACGTGGCAGTTCAGGTTCGCTCAACTCTATTATGGATCCTTTGATCGCTACATGTATTACTTGGATAACTGGTAATTCTCAAGCTAATACATGCCGACGAGCGCTAGGGGACGGCCACTCCGCTTTTGCACCCTGTACCTTCTTATGCTGTGCTGGTGCCTCTGTGCGACCAGTGCCTCTTCCTCCAAACTGCACACGTCACTTGCATGACCTTGATTCCATGTGGGGTCTAGGACCTCATCATCCTCCACATCATCTTCCACCCACTCCTCAACCCTGCCCTCCTTGCCGGTATGCACACTGCAGAAAGCCACAGCAGTTGGCACCTGTAAAGTCTGCAAAGGACATATGGAAATTGTTTTAGAATTGTATCCAGGCAACAGTTTTCCCTATAAACTGACCTCTCAGTTTGATTTGTGAGGGTATTGCCCCAGAATTACAATATTGTTGAAGTACCTCTTAACTATTGATCACTGGTTTAAATATAGCAGCTTGTTATCTGGTAGTTTCTAGTGTAGAAAACATCAATCTGTTTTCTATCACTTAGATCTGTGTAACAAGTGTTGGAGATGTGAAACAATATTACAAGTGACCGGTGTAGTAAATTCGAATCAAAGTTACGCTTCGATTTGACTCTCAGATATGAAGTGAACACCCCAAATATACTATTTAGCACAAAAAAAATTTGACTTTTTAAAACTCCAATGTAAGCAGCAGATTGGCAGCAAAACAATTAGAATGTTTGCAACTGTACAGTAAGCGCCCTATTTGACGCTTCTATTCGACTCTCAGATATGAAGTGGACCGCAGGTCACAATTGTACTATTTAGCAGATTAGCAGCAAAACAATTAAATTTTTCCCACTGCGCTGTAAGCGCACTATTAGACGCTTCTATTTGACTCTCAGATATTAAGAGCATGCCCAAAATGTACTATTTAGCAGATTAGCACCCAGAAAATAAGAATTTTTAACAACTGCGCAGTTAGCGCACTATTTGACGCTTCTTTTTGACTCTCAGATATGAAGAGCACGCCCAAAATATACTATTTATCAGATTAGCAGCAAAACAATTAGAATGTTTACCACTGTGCTGTAAGCGCACTATTAGACGCTTCTATTTGACACTCAGATATGAAGTGCACGCCCCAAATTGTACTATTTAGCAGTTTAGCAGCAAAACAATTAAAATGTTTGCAATTGCTCTGTAACCGCAGTATTTGACGCTTCTATTTGACTCTCAGATATGAAGAGCACACCCCAAATTTAATATTTAACAGATTAGCACCCAGAAAATTTGAATTTTTACAACTGCGCTGTATGCACACTATTAGACACTTCGATTTGACTCTCAGATATGAAGAGCAGGCCCCAAAATGTACTATTTAGCAGATTAGCACCCAGAAAATTAGAATTTTTACAACTGCGCTGTAAACACACTATTAGACACTTCTATTTGACTCTCAGACATGAAGTGCACCCCACTAAAATACTATTTAGCAGTCTAGCACCAAAAACATTTTAACTTTTGAAACTGCAATGTGACAGCAGTATTTGACGCTTCTATTTGACTCTCAGATATGAAGAGCACGCCCAAAATGTACGATTTAGCAGTTTAGCAGCAAAACAATTAGAATGTTTACAATTGCGATGTAACCACAGTATTTGACGCTTCTATTTGACTCTCAGATATGAAGTGCAGGCCGCAAAATGTACTATTTAGCAGATTAGCACCCAGAAAATTAGAATTTTTACAACTGCGCTGTAAACACACTATTAGACGCTTCTATTTGACTCTCAGATATGAAGAGCAGGCCCCAAAATGTACTATTTATCAGATTAGCAGCAAAACAATTAGAATGTTTACCACTGCGCTGTAAGCGCACTATTAGACACTTCTATTTGACTCTCAGATATGAAGAGCACGCCTAAAATTTACTATTTAGCAGATTAGCACCCAGAAAATAAGAATTTTTACAACTGCGCTGTAAGCGCACTATTTGACGCTTCTATTTGACTCTCAGATATGAAGAGCAGGCCCCAAAATGTACTATTTATCAGATTAGCAGCAAAACAATTAGAATGTTTACCACTGCGCTGTAAGCGCACTATTAGACACTTCTATTTGACTCTCAGATATGAAGAGCACGCCTAAAATTTACTATTTAGCAGATTAGCACCCAGAAAATAAGAATTTTTACAACTGCGCTGTAAGCGCACTATTTGACGCTTCTATTTGACTCTCAGATATGAAGAGCACGCCCAAAATGTACTATTTAGCAGTTTAGCAGCAAAACAATTAGAATGTTTACAATTGCGCTGTACCCGCAGTATTTGACGCTTCTATTTGACTCTCAGATATGAAGTGCTGGCCGCAAAATGTACTACTTAGCAGATTAGCACCCAGAAAATTAGAATTTTTACAACTGCGCTGCGCAGATATGAAGTGCACCCCACTAATTAGTGCCCAAAACAATTTGTTTTTAAACTGCAATGTGACAGCAGTATTTGACGATTCTATTTGACTCTCAGATATGAAGTGCACCCCACTAATGTACTATCCCACTAATGTACTATTTAGCATAAAAAAAAATTACTTTTTAAAACTCTGATGTAAACGCGGTATTTGAAGCTTCTATTTGACTTTCAGATATGAAGTGCACCCCACTAATGCACTAGTTTGCAGAATTCTTTCATAAGCATCCTCTCCCTACACTAGTAAGACCTCATGTGCGTGCTGTGCTACGCAACTCCAGCTTATATATAGAGGCTGGGTCACAGGCTGTACTGGCCAATCACAGCCATGCCATTAGTAGGCATGGCTGTGATGGTTTCTAAGGGCACACAAGTCAAATGCTTGTTGATTGGCTGCCCTGCAGCCTTTGAAAACACGCCATTAAATCGCCGAACACCGAACTCCAACCCGAACATACAGTGATATGTCCGTGTTCGGGTCCGGGGTCCAAAAAACGTAAAATATTCGGTACGAACTCGGTACGAACTCTAGTTGAGATCCTTCTTAAAGATACTAGTGCAAAATTATTGTAGGAATGAAAAACATTGGTATCTCTTGGTTGGGAAGAAGTAATGTTATCAAATCATATATCCTTCCCAAATGGTCCTATGTTTTCAGGATGTTACCTTTATCTATATCTCTAATTAAATTGAAACACTTCTATAAATTCTTTATGAATTATATATGGGGTTCTAAGAAGCCTATAATTTCAGCTTCACATTTATTGAAGAAAACCAATAAAGGGAGTTTAGCGATCCCAAACATTACTAGATATTATGATGCAAGTAGGATTTCTCATTTAAGAAGATAGCTGATGAGCCATGGTATAAGGTAGAGTTGTCACTACTGAAGGTTAGGGATCTCCCTGCCTTTATTTGGCTCGATGAGGGAGCAAGTACTAAGTTCATGTTATCAACTGAATATACTTATTTAAAGGAATTATATTATGATTGGTTTAAGTATAGAAAGAAGAATGGGATATTAGACAAAATCGCTTAAGATATCCCCATCACTACTATACAAGGTAATATACCAGATTTAAACTTAAAAAATTGGATTGGAGGCAGAGCTTGATCACTGATGAAGATGGCCGCGTTCTAGAGAGGCTTTTTGGTGGCAGGCAATAATTAGCCATCTCCAGCGGCAAACAAGCCCACAATTGAGCCACAGACCCTCCAGCACAAGCCTGAACCCTACAGGAGCTAAAAGACATGGGGAGGATGGAAAACTAAGTCTGGCTCTGCCATAGCCTCGATATTCAGAAACAGGCCTGACAGAGAACCACCACGTGCAGTCAGCCAGCAGGCCTCAGACTCGGATTCCGAAGCTAGCACAGCCAGCCACAGGATGGAGTCCTCACCCCTCACTAAAATGGACTTGAAAGACCTACTGGCAGACATGAAATCCCTAGTGGCTTCAGAACTCACCAAACATGGCCCAGATCAAAGAAGGCCTAGCTGACCTCTCCAAGTGCACCCACGAGCTGGAGGACAGGCTAAAAGAAGTATCTGCTACGACCAGCACCCATGAAACCACCATGGCCCTCCTAGAACATGCACATCAGGAATTGAGGACAAATTGAAGGCCACACAGTCCAATTATACCACGGCCTGGCGCCTTCCACTTTACTCAAGCAAAGAGAACTGAGACCCCTGACCGAAGCATTACAATCACGAAGGATAGGATACTCCTGGGGCCACCCATGTAAACTGATGGTGAGGAATGAGAATCAAACCTACACTCTATACAGACCATCTGAAGCACGAGACCTCGCATGCAACTAGGCCTCCAGGACCTGCACCTGGACCTACCATCTACCTCTCAGCAGCTGGCCCCCCTGTGCCACGTGTGGGAACTGCTACCCCTGTGAGACTGCGGACACCTCAGAGGACAACGCCCTGCCAAACCTCCTCACAATCTAGTGGAAACCACACTATCGACTACCACGACTGCACGGAAACCGTGAGATACACTCGTTACTAGGTATTATGTATTGCTATGCATGTACAGTTCATTCAGCCTTGCCACAGAATGCAGAGTGTCTCCCCCCATCCTGCCCGGGATGGTTTCCCCCCCTGGCACTGCTGGGGCTCTGTGGCCCACTGAGAGTGGGCCACTAGTAATCCCGAAACCAGCTGTGCCCTCCCTGATAGGGTGCCCGGGGGTTCCCCATGAGCCGCACAGTTGTTAAACACATCAAGGATCAGGGCAGCTATGTCACCGAATGCACCAGCCCTGGGGCCCTTGCGGAATGATCTGTGTGCCTTTAGTACACCTTAACCGGCCAGTGAACAGTTGTGTTCAAGACTCAGTTACACGGATCCCTCAGGCACTGTTGGGATGCCTTGGGGTGTGGGGTGCGTCGCAGGGGGGCGCTTGCTCCTTCTCTCCCTCCTCCGTGGGTGGGGAGGGGCGCGACGTCCCTGACTGCGGACACGGGGATGCCCACTTGGGGTCCTGATGTCTGGTATAGCTTTGCAGTGCCGAGGATACCGATTACACTGTCTTTTTTAACCCATCTGTATGGCACAGCTACCCCCGTACACTTAAACTTAACAGTGCTGATTCATAACACAAACAAATAAGACGGTCCGAGCTGGGTGACTGCTGTATTGCTATTCAGAACATACTACTCCCTGTGGCAGAGTGTGATGTGTAAAAATGTATATAAGTTTGACATGTTTACTATGTTTGCTCCTTATTGCTGACCTTGCAGCGCCCCCTTCCCCCTGACCGACTCTCGGCGTGGGTAATGGGGAGCCATGGGGATGTGATCCTGGCCCTCACCCCTCACGTTCCCGCTAACCCGGTACTGTAACCAGAAAAATACCTGCCCTATCACCATAGCCTGCCCCTCTCTGGAGGTTGACCACTCCCCCCGCACTACCTGTTTCTTGTCACCGGACCCCGGGCTCCAAGGTCTAAGGGACCGAAGGCAACACAGACCACCCCGGTTGACACCTGTAGTAAGCCCAGCACCTACACACATTTTCGTTCTCTCTACTCACCCGCACCGCCGGTCGGGACCCACCAGGTCCCCCGGCCCCCATCCCAGCAACCACTCCAACCCTCCTCCCATAGTTGGCAGCGGTATCCCAGCAGACCTCACATAGAGATGCCACTCGAGCTACATTGTAATTCTATTAACGCCAAGGGCCTTAACAGCAATGAAACGCATCCCCACCAACATCTGCTGGAAAATGTGCGGTGAAACAGGGACATTCAGCCATTGCTGGTGGACATATCCTAAGCTCATACTCCTCTGGAAGAGCATCTCATACCTCTTAACAAGACTGGTCGCCAGACCAGTCCCCCTAGAACCCAGGGCACTGCTACTCTCGAAACCCAATGACCCCTTCACTCGCAACAAAAACAAACTCATTGCCCGAATAGCCCTAGCTACCCACAGAGCAATAGCAGAAGCTTGGTCCACCCCCATATACCTACCCATGCCCAAATCCACCACAAAATAACTGACAGCATAGATATGGATAAACTAACAGCCCAGACACAAAACACACTGAACTCATTCCACAAAATCTGAGATCCGTGGTTGGAGGGAAACACCACCCTCATGCGCCTGCATGATCAACGACCATTAAGAATAACACCAGGAACATGAAGGCCAACTGAACACCCTCCCCCCTCTACCCCTCACCTCCTCAGCGGGATCCGTGGGGATCTCCAAATGGGTGGCACTTCCCCCCACTTTTTTCTTTTTCTCTTCCTCAACTTTCTCTCTCCCCACCCGCCCAACCCTCCCCTCTGCCTCTATTCATCTTCCTCCTCTTCTGATACCCCCCACTACTGAAACAATACAACAAGAACCCACTCGCCAACATACCCCTGCACATCTGTACCTTTGACACCCGTGAACCCTCATTGGGGTACCTCCCTAAAGTCAGCCAACAAATGCATCCAAGGCACACTTATTCTACAAACAATACCTCTGACTGGCATTACCATTCTGAGCCGAACTGTTGCCTGACTCTATTAAGGACCAACGCCTCGACCAGGCCCCTGCCTCTAAAGGAGCCATGGCAGACGGATCTAGCTCTCTCACCACCCGTGAGACTCCCACCGAACACCAGACCATATTATAACGGTATTGACATGATGATAACACCTGTATCTATTGTGCATGTTAGCAAATGTTTAAACTGATGTTATGACTATGTGTTTTTACTTCACCAATTTTCCTTTCTGTAAGACTGTCTTATAAAAAATAAAAAAAATTGGATTGGATTGGATTGGATTGGATTGGAGCAGGAGTGGTTTGACCACCGAGTATAATGGTCACATAGATCCACTGCTCTGCACCCTAAGCTTCCTAATTGGGACTGTAACCAGCTAATTCCCAGCCATCAATGGACATACCAACTTTCCTGCGCGACCTGGATATAGCGGTACCAGGTGATATCCACCTCCCAGGCAGCAGCCCAGGAACTCTCAACCTACTACCTGGAGACTGGGCAGAACAAAGGGCCCGACCTACCTGAGCCATGGACTGAGGCACTTGTAACATGGGACAGAATGTGGAACATACCGCACGCAAGCTTAAGTTACATTGTATTTGCTTTACACGGGCTTAACCCACTTAGAGAATGTAGAAGGGGGATGAGTTGTATGCTGCTGGTCCAGCACATAAACCAAAGGGGTATATATTGGAGACGAGGGGAGCGGAATAGGGGAGACAGTGGGAAGAGGAAGGGACAAACCATAAACAAAGGGAATGTAGAATATTGCATATTCTATGTTTCTATTGAAAAAATATGGATGTCTGGATTGACATAAGTAATAGATGATATCACAGTCACAAGGCTTTCTTTGTATGAGAAGTCTGGGATGTGGATTGGGGTATCTTGTCCTTATTTGGCTAGGGTATTTTCTGATGTAATTATGGTCATATCTATATACAATAGTGGACAAAGGACCACAAGGTCTTGCTGCTGCTTGCTACTTGTTGCATGGAGTTCATCTTCTTCTCTAACTATGTAGGCTAACTCTCCCTTCAGGAGTCCAGCAATTACCATCTGCTGTTGAACATCCATTATCCTGTAATGTCCTTTGTTGTTTTATTATGCATCAGTAACTGTAAGAATAAACCTGAAAAAAACATAATTCAGATTGCATATTAGTATTTTTGGTTAATATAGACGTATATCAACCTGGCGAGCCTTTTACCCAAGAAGAAATATACATAAAAGACTTATTTCAATCAACCTGGAAAAAGACACAGAAGGACTAATTTATTAAAGCCAGTCATTGCAGAGCAACGCGTCTGTTGCTTTTTATGGACCCTCCGGGAGAAGAGGCACTACGGGGTTCAAAAAAACCCAAGCGCATGCAGCCTGTAGAAGGTCAGGCACCCTTTTACACCTCATTCAGAATCTGTGCTAACCAGCAATGGGAGCCCCGAGGGCTTCCCCATTCACCTGTGGCGTAAGTAGGTATACACAGAGGCTAGTAGTGGTGTTTCGGGTGTGGGTACACTGTAACCTGATCGCGCCGACAGTCACTGCCAGAATGCCAGGCATATGCGATCAAACACCTCAAGAAAATCTGACTGGGGCATTGATCCGCCCTGAAGGAGCACTTGATGCTTCCACTGCATATTAACAGGAGTGTCCGCCATCTTGATGTCTCCAAGACAGTGCAAAGCAGGAATGAGTGAATAGCCCAAGGCTGGCTGGCAGCAGGCAACTTTTGACTAAATGCTGCAAATAACCCCATTTGAGTGTCATTGTGTAGTTCAGGGTGAGTGGAATGATATAGCTGCCTAAGAGGTAGCGTAGACTTGTTATGTGGGCTGAATTCCCACAAAATCAGAGGAGCTCCTCGACCATGTGGGAATACATTATAACCATTATTGCTATCATTTGTTTCCAGGTTACATATTTAGCATCATTACATAATATTATACAATTTATAATCACAAAAAACCTATAGTGACACCTGTTGTACTAGGTCTGATGTGAAATCAATGTTCTTCAGAAATAGTGGATTGTTGTGTAGAAAAATATTTCTAACACCATAGAATCACACATGGACACACAGACGTTTTTTTACTTTTGGTTACAATGAATTGTACAGTCCAAGAAAAGGCAAAATTTATTAGCCCTTCAGTATTTCACAAACCATAAATCTTGGAGAACACCCTTTGTCTCAATTAGGAATGATTTACGTATGTAAAAGAGAGATATATTGAAAAGGAAATGTTCTCTTTTTAATTATACGCATGTTTCCTAAATGTCATGGCATACAAGAAAAAGTTAATATTTTGCTATTTTGTTTTTTACTGTCCCTTACCTAGATAGATACTTGTCCAAGTATCCCTATGAATAAAGAATACAGTTAGTTGAATAATTCCTGAATCATTTAGCAAAATGAGTTTAGCACCAGAAATACTCTGAGGGCGCTTACTTGAAGACTTCACATTCAACATAACCATGGCAGCATGTTAAAAATGGGATCTCTCATATTAGTGTCTTGAATTACTCAAGTCATTGAGCGAACATGTTTAGAATTCAGCAAGAGATACTGTCTGTCATGTTTATGTTTTAACTATAATTCATAAAGATTATATCAGAATTAATCCAACATCTCCATTTGCATTTAATTTATATACTTAAAACCTGCCCCATTCTTACTCTACCCTTATTTTAACCTGAGCCGATTGTCATTATTTTATCAAGGCCTTGACCTTATCTTACTGACTATCTGCAAACTATCTTGACCTCAACTTGAACCAATATGTCTTTCAATGAGTGCACTTACTTTGACTTGCATCAGATTTTGTCTTTATCTTCTGCCCTTTTTTTAAATGCCACTGACCTGAATATGACTCCTCGACAACCTACTTTATAGATTTTGCTTTGCACTTGTGCTTGTCACTGATTTCACCATGTCAATATGTCCAATTTCACAAATCCTCTTTGTTATGTGTTTACAGAATGACTTGAGAATCTATTACTTGTATATAAAAAAAAAAAAAAATTCCATAAAGTACATCTTTTTTAGTATATCTTCAGTTTGGTGGCAACAACTTAGAAGAATAAATTTAAAAATAATATCCTAAAACCTCACCTACAGACAGTACTAACTAATGTTCCTCCTATTTTCGTTTGATTTGATTGTGTCAAGTTATTTTTAAACAAATTATAGCATGACTTTATAACCTGCTTTATGGAACTGTCCCTTTATAGTATCTAACTCCACCTGCTATTGGGACATCTCAGAAGAATATAGCATTTAAATGTAATATCTAAATGATTTATTATAAATACTTATTTATTTTGCCAAACTAAATAATACTGCATAAGTCAACTAATAGATAAAATCTATAAATCACAGAAATATGTTTGTTTTGTGATTTATGTAGGGTTTGAACCTTTTCTACATATATATCTCAAGACTAGACAGAAGAAAAACCAATGTATTACTCACATACAGCAAATCAAATGTTGAATATTTTATATATACTTTATATTAGTACATTAATTGTTTTTACTTCTGTGAATAAAGTTGTAAAACAGAGTATACCCATCTGATTAATTATACTCAGGAATGCAGAGTTGCAATATTTACGTAAATAACTAATTCTGCTCTAGGGCATCCTGTTTCAGACATGTTACATGAAAATGATTTTATCAATGTAAAGAATAATTACCAACACATTACACAGAAATATTCACAAAAATTGAATTTTATTTTTTTTAGTGATGCGAAACATAAATACTTTATAAACATGGGGTACTTATGAACAATTCATCACTAGTACAAAATGATGTAAAAATGTTTTGCGCTTACATATTTTCCTGTTAAAATTGATCTTCAGATAATGTTTATATTGGTAACACAATGTCTATTTTAGTAGAGTGATGTGTCAAAGTGTGTTTTAAGACAAATAAAATAATGCTATAAGTAATGATATAAGGAAAAAAAATAATGCTATAAAGTTATAGAACAAAACTATTTTACTTTTATAACCTTAGCACCTCTGGTAACACAATCTTTATGATCTCGGCCAATCCAATGCATTCCCATGGGAAAGCATTAGGAGGCTATTGCACATGAGTGGCAAAGCGCCAAGCTGCGCCAATCAGCATCATCTCATATCAATGCATTGAATAAAGGCATCTCTATGGGGAATCTTCAGCTCCTCATACAGAGTGTGGAAACGCTGAATGCTAGTGCTGCACTGGACTAGGAAGCACCTCTGGTGGCAGTCTCTGTGACTGCCACTGGTGGTGTTACTAGCCAGCAATGTAAACACTACTTTTTCTCTGAAAAGGCATTGTTTACAGAGCTAACACTGCAGGGAGAGGCTATAGACAATAGAACCACTACATTAAGCTGTAGTGGTTCTTGTGACTATAATGTTCCTTTCAATGTGTACATACTTTTAGTGTGATTTGCAAGTGCGTTATATTTACATAAGCATTCTGTGTGATAGGCTACACAAATGTATCAACACATCTGGAAACCTTGTGGTAATTTGCAGCCACTACAAACTACAAACTGTTGTTATTAGGGACTATGTATGGGAGTTATTTACTGACAAGGCTTAAAGCGGCACCGTCATGCCGAACTTACCTTTCCTCAATCTCTTCCTCTTCTCCACCTCTCTCAGGATCTGCTCTTCTTTTCTCCCTGTCTTCTTTAGTTTTCTTTAAAATCATAAGACAAAGTAGGGACTCTTTGCCTTAAGGAGGATTCCTCTGCTTGACCAGCTCTGACCAGCGGAGCAGCAAAGTGTGCTTCATTTCCGCTGGTCAGAGCAATTTTCCAATAATTCTTACCTTTCCTCTGTGATCTCACGATGCTTCCTTTCATTTTAGATGAAACTGCCGAATTGTGTTCTAACTGAATGAGAACAGTATGTTCGTTTGTTTTAGAACTCAATTCGGCACTTTATTCGGATCGGAAGTTCATTCGAATGAATGAAACTCCGATCCTATGCATGCTGTGGCTGCATCTTGCAGCCGCTTAGTAGATAACTCCCTAATTCCCACGGTATCAGGGAGCTATCTACTAAAAGGCTGAAAGACCTAAATTGGTCTTTCAGCCACATTTACTAATACTAAGTAAAAATTACTTAGTATTAGTAAATGGTGCCCCTACTCGTTATACCGATAATGATAATGAGGGGGGGACCTACTGTCCTCCCCCCTCGGCCCCCACCCCAGGGCGGCGGGTGGGGGCCATAAAGATAATAGGGGGGTGGACCTACTGTCCTCCCCCCCCTGCCCCCTGGGTGGTGGGTGGGGGCCAAATGATAATGAGGGGAGGGACCTACTGTCCTCCCCCCCGGCCCTCACCCCTGGGCAGCGGGTGGGAGCCATAATGATAATGAGGGGGGCCTACTGTCCACCCCCCCTCCGGCCCCAACCCCTGGGCGGCGGGTGGGGGCCATAAAGATAATGGGGGGGGACCTACTGTCCGCTCCGCCCCCAACTCATCCAATCACAGTGCTCTGTGTCATTTTACACAGCGTGAGAAAGTTCTTTTGAATTTTCCCACGCTGTGTAAAATGACACAGAGCACTGTGATTGGATGGATTTCAAGCCATCCAATCACAGTGCTCTGTGTCATTTTACACAGTGGGAAAATTCTTTTGCGCTCAGGATTTTTATTTTTTTCAGTTTGACGGTTAGGAAATTCTTTTTTGCGCTCAGGATTTTTATTTTTTTCAGTTCGACGGTTAGGATCCTTTTTTATTTGGCCTTTTTTGGGGCTGAAAAATAAAGATTTGAGAAAAAAGAAGACGTTGAATGGTAAGTTTAATTTTACACAGTGTTATTTTAGGTTTCTTTTTTGCGCTCAGGATTTTTATTTTTTTCAGTTTGACGGTTAGGATCCTTTTTTATTTGGCCTTTTTTGGGGCTGAAAAATAAAGATTTGAGAAAAAAGAAGACGTTGAATGGTAAGTTTAATTTTATATTACAGGTTAGTTATTTTATTCCCCCCTCACTATTTTTTAGGGTAAGGGGGGTAGGTTGGGACTTTTTATTTGGGTGGGGGGGTGGGTGACTAGGGGCTTGGGGACCCCTAGTCACCTTGGGGTGGAGGGGAAATTGACTTAGGGCCCCCACCCGCCGCCCAGAGGTGGGGGTCGGAGGGGAGGACTGTAGGTCACCCCCCTCATTATCTTTATGGCTCCCACCCGCCGCCCTGGGGATGGGGGCCGAGGGGGAAGAAAATAGGTCCCGTCCCCCCTCATTATCTTCATGGCCCCCACCCGCCGCCCAGGTAGGTCCCCCTCTCATTATCTTTTGGCCCCCACCCGCCGCCCAGGGGTGGGGGCTGGAGGGGGGTGGACAGTAGGTCCCCCCCTCATTATCAATATGGCCCCCACCCGCCACCCAGGGGTGGGGGCGGGGGGGGCAGTAGGTCCCCCCCTCATTATCATTATGGCCCCTACCCGCCGCCCAGGGGTGGGGGCAGTAGGTCCCCCCCATTATCATTATGGCCCCCACCCGCCGCGCAGCGGTGGGAGCCGGGGGGGGGAACAATAGGTCTCCCCCCTTATTTTACTTTAGGGCCCCCACCCATTGTTTAGGGGTGGGGGCCAATAGTTTTTTTTTGTTTTTTTTACAGTGAGCAGCCAGAGGCTGCTCACTGTTTAGTGGACATGCCCCTACTCGCGGTATAGAGAGTAGGGGCATTGGGGAGATTTTACTCTCTCTTGTGCTATTATGGGGGTCATATTGACCCCCATAGAGTAAGGGGGGCCTTGGGGGCTTATGAAGTGGTGGGGAGCACTGCTCAATGCCGCTTCTATAGTTACATATTACAAGGAGTGGGGCTGCGTGCCGGTAGCTCCCTCCTTGTAATAAACTGAACGAACAAATGAACACTGATATTCAGTGTTTGTTTGTTCGGCTGATATTTCTATTTACTCATTCGTCTGTCTGATGAATGAATGAATGAATAGATGAAATTCCCGTTTGCATGTCCAGGTGTTTCACTGGGCATGTGCGGGAATATCACAGTCTATCTAGTGTGGGCAGATGACGTGTCCCACAGGTACTTCATCTACCCACACAAAGATGGCAGCGCCCTGAATAAAGATCAGGGCAGAAAATAAGGAATAAAAAATAGGAAATGTGGGGGGCTTAGGGGCATTTGGGGGTGACTAGGGGGTCAATTAGAGATAGTGGAGGACGGAGGGGGGTTAAAAAAAAAACCCAGGATTCGGCATGACAGTGCCGCTTTAAAAGAACCCTACGTCAGGTAAAGTGACTTACACAAATATAAAAAAACTCAATTCTCAGTTTTGAAATGTTGATTCCAAGAACTGACAGCATACCAATTGGGCAGTGTATGAAAGAAAGGGATTATATATATTACAAATATTCACATGTATTATTGGTAAACTGGTCTTCATTACTAGATAAAATAGCTACATGTTTACTTATAAGTACACATCATCCACGTTGCTTTAGAATAAATTATGTGTAAGCCCATGCATTACAATATTGGAAATCTGAGGTCATGTAAAAAGGAATAATGGCTTGAACTATGACTAATAAATTCCATACAGGCAAACTCATGATGAGGAAGATCAAGTGCAGTATATGTATTTTAACAAGCCAAACATAATTATAAAGATCCAGAACACTGCACATTTTCTTCAGTTTGCTGCAATAACATAACAATCATTAGGCATCATAGAAATAGATGGATAGATGGATAGATAGATAGATAGATAGATAGATAGATAGAATTAGAGATTTTCACTTGTTTATCATTGTATTGCATTTCCAAATTAACATTTAATGTACTGTGATGCTTTATAAATAATTACATAAATTACATTATTACATCATTGATTCTATTACTATTCATCACAAAAATAGTAGGTTATTGGTCCATTTAAAAAAAGAAATTTGAGAAAAGGGCAATTAGAATATGTTTAATATACAATGACGCGTGAAATATATTATGGACATATTGCTACTGTGCAATGGCCATGAGAGGGAATGTCACGTCAAGGCAGGTGGGTCCCAACTCTAACCATTCGCCTTGCTTCCTTGAGCTTCTGGCAAAGATATTTCTAATGAGACAGAAAGGGGTATTTTTTATATACACCCTGTTCCAAATTATTATGCAAATTCTATTTAAGTGTCACAAAGATTAAATATTTTGTTTTTCAGTTTAACTCATGGATGGCATTGTGTCTCAGGGCTCTTTTGATCACTGAAAACAATCTCGGACACCTGTGATAATTAGATTGCCAGGTGAGCCCAATTTAAGGAAAAACTACTAAAGGAGGGTGTTCCACATTATTAATCAGAGCACCATTTTCATGCAATATGGGGAAGAAAAAGGATCTCTCTGCTGCCGAAAAGAGTGAAATAGTTCAATGCCTTTGCGTGATCATCGCACTATTAAGAAATTTGTGGCTGATTCAGAGCACAGACGGGTTCGTGCAGATAAAGGCACTTTGAAGAAGATTTCTGCCAGATTCATGCATCGGATCAAGAGAGCAGCTGCTAAAATACCATTACATGGCAGCAAACAGATATTTGAAGCTACTGGTGCCTCTGGAGTCCCATAGACATCAAGGTGTAGAGTCCTCCAGAGTCTTGCAACTGTGCATAAACCTTCTATTCAGCCACCACTAACCAATGCTCACAAGCAGAAACGGCTGCATTGGACAGAAAAATACATGAAGACTAATTTTCAAACAGTCCTGTTCCCTGATGAGTGCCGTGCAACCCTGGATGGTCCAGATGGATGGAGTAGTGGATGGTTGGTGGACAGCCACCCTGTTCCAACAAGGCTGCAACGTCAGAAAGGCGGTGGTGGAGTCATGTTTTGGGCCGGAATCATGGGAAGAGAGCTGGTCAGCCCCTTTAGGGTCGCCGAAGGTGTAAAGATGACCTCTGCAAAGTATGTGGAGTTTCTGACTGACCACTTTCTTCCCTGGTACAGAAGGAAGAACTATGCTTTCCATAATAAAATCATCTTCATGCATGACAATGCACCATCTCATGCTGCATCAATGGCTGCTATGGGGATAAAAGGAGAGGAAGTCCTGGTGTGGCCTCCATCCTCCCCTGACCTCAATCCTATTGAGAACCTTTGGAGCATCCACGAGCAAAAAAGTTCAAATGTTGTTATAAGTTTGATTGAAATAGTTTTTGAGTTCAGTAAATATGCTGCAAACACAACAAATTACAATTTTCAGTTCTTTACAGCCTATAAATTGTTTTGAAACTTACTGTGCGTAATAATTTGGAACAGTGCATTGTAAGTTTTTTATGTTTTAAAAAAATACTGTTATCATTAGGAGGTTTGTTCAATAAAATTTGAATTGTACTCTTAATAGTTGATAACATGAGAATTATACTGAATGTTATTTACATCAATTATTTAGGTAAATGAGAAAAATATAATTTGCATAATAATTTGGAACAGGGTGTACATCCCTACATGCTTATTAACCCTTAATAGGGAACAAATGGGATGGGCATATGGTAGCACTCACGATCTTCAGTTAAAAATCTTCTTTATTCAATAAGAATTCAAACATAAGGTCTAGGATCAACGTTTCAGTCCTCTCTTAGGACTTTCATCAATATCAATATCATGAAAGTCCTAAGAGAGGACTGAATCGTTGATCCTAGACCTTATGTTTTAACTCTTGTTGAATAAAGAAGATTTTTAACTGAAGACCGTGAGTGCTACCATTACTACTTTTTACTATATATATATATATATATATATATATATATATATATATATATATATAGTAAAAATAATAAATACATTGAAAAATAATTTTTAAAAAAAGATTACATTTAAAAAAATATTATAAAGTGGTTTAAATTTGTTCTAACTGTATTTTGATATTAATATACATATTTATTTAAATCAAAATACATTTACAATGACGTTATAAATACATAAATCCCCTTAACAACTGTGAACATACTATGTACGTCCGACAAAAAGCGGTCGTTAAGGACCGCAGACGTACCAAGTACGTCCACAGCAAATAGGAGTCCTGGACTTACTTGGACCGGCGATCCACGGCGATGACGGTCGGGGGAGACTGCCAGAGACTCCAGCAGTTTCTCTGCTGAAAAAAAAAAAATGATATATGTATAATATATTATAAAATCAAAAGCATTTTATAATATATTACACATATATAATGCGTATATGTGATTTCATTATAACTGTACTTTGAGATATATACACATATATCTCAAAATACGCAAAAAATATTTTAGTATAGCACTCCAAGGACTTTATATAAAATATAACTTTTATTTACCTTCTAAATAAAAGCGGTCAATGTTTCAGCTTGATACCTTCAAGCTTTCCTCAGGACACACTGTGCACAAAAAACATCCAACATATAAAGCAAAAATCTTAAAACTTACTCACCCCCACCTGTGTAACATCCGACTCCCAGGACGCCAGCACCGAGATTGCCGCGGGCTGCCCGACGTGAGTTTGCAGCCACGTGGTGTCACGCTTGATAACGCGGCCAGGGGTCGTTGCCATAGAAACCTGGGTATACAAACAATTATAAATGTAAAAAAATATAAAAGCAACCATAATAGCTGCTTCACCGCAGGAGAACAAAAGCTGTGTATATACTTTCTATTAATTTCAATCGGCATAATGACAATCAGTTATGAACATAATTTCTGCATAGCGATCTATTTGAATTGGAAACGAACCTGAGAGCAACTTGCATATTGGAATTCAAAATTACAGTGGTCTTACCATAAATCAAGACTCATAATAAAGAGGACATCGTGTTTAGACTTCCCTAAAGGTACAAACAGAATTCCAACTCCTATTTACATAATCCATCAACTCTCTTTATCTAAAACGATAGAGTACTATATATTTATATATTAATATATTAAGGCTACGACCAAGTCCAGTTACACTGTAACCATGGACATAAACACAAATAAGGAGAATATAAATACTAATCCTCCATACTGAATTGCCAGGGGGTATGAACTGAACCTCAACTCCCAATTCCATTATCCATCCACTTAAAAATAGTGGAGTGTTATTATTACAATGCTTATGACTAATCATACTGAAAAACCTAACAAACAAAAGGTAGTAATACTACTTAAACTGGGCATAGATATAATTAATATCTTACAAATTACATAAACACCATTAAGATAGTGAATAATGTGAGCCCTATTCTGCATTCAATATACGGCTGGTAGAATTATTATTATAGGCTTACCAAATAAATTTACAATATTAATTAAAATCCAAAAGGAGCATAAATCCACAAAAGAACCATTTGGTCACATATTCTCACTCAATGAAGGACATAACTAGTCCAATCACAATGATGTCCCAATACTCAAAAAAAAAATTCACAAAGGAACACAAAACATTACTTTGGATCAACCTTGATCCAATATCGTGTTCAATAGGATCATACCTATAACAGAAGAAACTGAAAAATAAAAATGGCAATAGCAATTCTAAAAAACAACATAAAAATAATCACATAAATTGATAGTCACTATAGGTAAACGATTGGTTAGCCTCTCCTCCAGGGTGGGCTCACAATCACACAACATGAGTGACATAATGGAACTATATACAACTTGAAATAATGTAGCGGAATGGTGTAAAAATGCATGCCTATCCCCCAGGGTGGGCATCGCATTTCATCCACACATTAATCAATACAAATATTATAAAAATGCTGAGAGAGTGTATTTCTCATTGAGACCGTTTGGATAAACGGTTCTCAAGGTTCTAATCCAATAAAGTTGTAGTAACATTTTCTTCCTGTCCCCTCCTCTTCGCGGGACTGGTATGTGATCAATAGCCATCAGTTTTAGGGTTGGTAGTGTGTGTCCTTGTTCCAAAAAAATGTTTGGCCACCGGGAGGTCTGATTTCTGGTCTCTATATGTCACTCTTATACTCGATCTATGGTCACGGATGTGTTCCTGTAAAGGTAAGTCTGTTTTGCCAATATATGTTAACCCACAGGGACAACTTAACTTATATACTACATAATCAGTGGTGCAGGTTAGTCTGTGTTTGATATTATACTTCTTTCCTGTATGTGGGTGGGTGAAAAATTTCCCTGGGAGCATATGTCCACAGGTAACGCACCATAAACACCTATAAAAGCCTAAATTAGTAGACACTTGTTCCTGTGAATAACAATATGTGTGGTCCGTCCTAACCAATAAGTCCTTGAGACTCTTATTTCTCTTATAGCACATCATCGGCGGATGACGAAACTGTTCCGGTAATGTGACATCATTTTTCAAGATTCTCACATTGAGAAGACGCCAGCGTCCATAGGAAAGCATTGAGAATGCTTTCCTATGAGACTGGGTGAATGCGCGCGCGGCTGAGGAGAGTCCCCAGCGCTGAGGGAGCCTGGCGCTGGAAAAAAGGTAAGGGATTAACCCCTTCCTCACCCTATAGCCCGGCGGGAGGGGGTCCCTGAGGGTGGGGGTGACCCAAGGACCCTATAGAGCCAGGAAAACGAGTATGTTTTCCAGGCACTATAGTGGTTCTTTAACAAAGGCAGACCTCATTTCTAACACAGGTTGAGGTATATATACCCTGTTCCAAATTATTATGCAAATTATCTTTTTCTCACTTACCTAAATAATTGATGTAAATAACAGTCAGCATAATTGTCATGTTATCAACTATTAAGAGTACAATTCAAATTTTATTGAACAAACCTCCTAATGATAACAGTATTTTTTTTAAACAGAAAAAAAACTTACAATGCACTGTTCCATATTATTACGCACAGTAAGTTTCAAAACACTTTATAGGTTGTAAAGAACTGACAATTGTCATTTGTTGTGTTTGCAGCATATTTACTGAAATCAAAAGCTATTTCAATCAAACTTATAGCAACATTTTAACTTTTTAAACATTTTAACAGGTCACGTTACATTTTAACATTGGACCCCTTATTTGATAGCAGCTTCACAAGTCTTGCATCCATTGAACTTGTGAGTTTTTGGACAGTTTCTGCTTGAATTTGTTTGCAAGATGTCAGAATAGCCTCCCAGAGCTGCTGTTTGGATGTAAACTGCCTCCCACCCTCATAGATCTTTTGCTTGTGGATGTTCCAAAGGTTCTCAATAGGATTGAAGTCAGGGGAGGATGGAGGCCACACCATGACTTTCTCCATAGCAGCCATTGATGCAGATGTATTCTTTGCAGCATGAGATGGTGCATTGTCATGCATGAAGATGATTTTATTACGGAAAGCATAGTTCTTCCTTCTGTACCAGGGAAGAAAGTGGTCAGTCAGAAACTCCGCATACTTTGCAGAGGTCATATTTACACCTTTGGGGACCCTAAAGGGGCTGACCAGCTCTCTTCTCATGATTCCGGCCCAAAACATGACACCACCACCGCCTTGCTGACGTCACGGCCTTGTTGGAACAGGGTGGCCGTCCACCAACCATCCACTACTTCATCCATCTGGACCATCCAGGGTTGCACGGCAAATTAGTCTTCATGTATTTTTCTGCCCAATGCAGCCCTTTCTGCTTGTGAGCATTGGTTAGTGGTGGCCGAATAGAAGGTTTATGCACAGTTGCAAGACTCTGGAGGACTCTACACCTTGATGTCCGTGGGACTCCAGAGGCACCAGCAGCTTCAAATATCTGTTTGCTGCTATGTAGTGGTATTTTAGCAGCTGCTCTCTTGATCCGATGTATGGATCTGGCAGAAATCTTCCTCAATGTGCCTTTATCTGCCTGAACCCGTCTGTGCTCTGAACCAGCCACAAATCTCTTAATAGTGCGATGATCACGCTTAAGTTTTTGTGAAATATCTAATGTTTTCATACCTCGTCCAAGGCATTGAACTATTTCACTCTTTTCGGCAGCAGAGAGATCCTTTTTCTTCATATTGCATGAAAATGGTGCTTTGATTAATAATGTGGAACACCCTCCTTTAGTAGTTTTTCCTTAAATTGGGCTTACCTGGCAATCTAATTATCACAGGTGTCCGAGATTGTTTTCAGTGATCAAAAGAGCCCTGAGACACAATGCCACCCATGAGTTAAACTGAAAAACAAAATATTTAATCTTTGTGACACTTAAATAGAATTTGCATAATAATTTGGAACAGGGTGTAAGCACATACATACACAGATTTACATACAAATTAACACACAGATACACACATATAAACACACACATAAAAAATATATACACACACCTGGACACATGCACATACCTTGATATGTACACACACCATGACACACAGATACACACACTGGCAGACAGACACTGCCACAAATACACACACAGATACACACACTGACACACAGATACACACACATACACTAACATATAAACACATAGATCATTATCAAGGTTGTGACTTTTTTGGGTTGCCTGTACTGCGACTTGGAGCTATATTTCTGCACAGCCCCCGTGCACAGACTCAAATCCCAAGTGGCTTCTTACCTGGTCACCTTGGTCTGTGTTTATTTGCAAGGGTGAGCGTGTAACTCTGCATGTCAGACTCCACATTATGTAAGATCCTGACAGAAGCCCAGTATGATATTAGTGATGGACAGACCATTATAGATTACAAACTAGGCAACAGTATGCTAGTAAGGTGCATTCATGAATAAAAGGGGGGTTTTATTCATGTGATCCAAATATCATGTTACCTCTTTACAAATCAATCATAAGATTGGCACCACTTTTAAAGGATATTACAGAACTAGAAAAAGGTGAGCTACAAAACTAATAAGGGGAATGGAAAACATTCATTATGGGGAACGGCTAGAAAAATTGCATTAATTCTTTTTAGAAAAATACATCTCAGAGGGATTAAAAGGCATGAGTATGAAACGTAAAATGCAGAGGTGAAAATAAACAAAGTCCAAAGCAAACAAATCCAGATAGGGGTAAGGCAACTGCAAGGTCAAGACTGTCCCAAAGTCAAAATCCAGGCAGCAAGTTTCAGAAGCAGAGAGGCAAGCCAAAAGTCAGGAAATCAAGCAAAAAAAACAAAAAAACAACAAAATTACAGGGTGTTAACTAAGAAACAGAAATGATAACTCAGCTGTAAATGGTTTAACTAGGGCACCTATTAGAAGACGTGCCTATTCAGACACGCCTCCATACCACCCTATTGGTGTATAGGCTGTCAGAGGTCTCGGGTTGTCATGGGAGTTGATTATGTTCTAGCTGCACCCAAAAGGATGTCCTGTGGCATAGAACTATTGTGCAGGTCTCTCAGATGTCTATTGTTAGCCGGGAGACATGACACGAATCGGGTTCAGAGGTGCCGTCAGAGCAGTGAGGGTACCGTGGTGAGTCGTGACAACTATACACATATATACAGCGTTAGTACAAGCTGCTATGTGATAACCTATTAATTAGCAGGAAAATACAAGTACAAGAGGTTACCCTTTGAGACTGAAAGTAAGGCGTTTTCAATTACAGCAGAGGAATGGGCTCTTTACAGTAAAAACAATAAAAACGTGGAATTCTCTGCCTAAAGACGTTGTCTTATCAGATTCTATAGATAATTAAAAAAAAAAGACTTGGATGATTTTTTGCTTAAACTTTTGTTGCCTTCTTTGGATCAACAACATAAAAGAATGGGCTTCAGGGTTGAACTACCATGTAACTATGTTCTCCCCACAAACTGTGGCAAAGGATTAATGTTGCAACTAAGAGTCCTGTGACCAACATACTGGTCGCTATGACTACAGGCTAATTAAATTAACTGGTTCACTCACACTTTCTATCTTAGTAAAGGGGCATTTTTATATTACTGTCTCATGGACTAGTAATCTACTGGGAGAGGAGTTATACAATATAATCCATTGAAACTAGTAAAAAAAAATAGGTTATATAGATTGAATAACATTATGTTCACAAATTAGCCCCTGGATTTATTTTCATCAGTCTCACTGTCCAATTATATATTTCTTGTCAGTTCTTGAGTAAATCAGCAGTCACTTGTGTTCCATTTCCATTGACATCAGCTTTGTTCATCACCAAAAAATTTCATTAAATAACCCTCTTGTTACAAGATAAACCATATAATAAAGTTTTAAGTATCATGGACCTAATGTATAAGTGTGGTTATTTTTAATGGGTATTTGTTCTATTCATTTTTATCACCTTATCTTAAGAAACATGATAGTAATGGGATTAAGTCATAGTATAGTTTTGCAAGGCAATAAACTATAGTTTATTGCACATATTTTTCAATGAATTCTCAGAAAACAGGGGCAGGACAGTTAGTCTGACTTTATGGTACACATTTAACTATGTTGAGAAGATGACACCATTTACCCAAAAAATATAGACCTTTGGGAATGGATATTCATAAAGAGGATGGGCTGAGACAGCCATGGAATATAATTCACTCATGCCTTAAGCCAGATAAAAAGACAATATGGTAAATATAAAAACTGACTCATATTTGAGCTACAGATTTTTTAGGAATGCTTTATGATTGAGCTTCATAGACTCCATTTAGTGTTATGGAGTCCAGTTTTAGATGTATCATTGCACAGTCACTTACCGGAGGTGATCCTGGATGCTTTCTACAATATGTTTCAAACAAGCTTACAGTCTAGACGAGGTGAGTTATAAAAACAAGGGCTGCATGTGGGCTAGCAACCAAACACAATGTGGGAAAGTAGCAGAACTGGAGGTGAGAGTAGAGTGCGGCTCTTTAGGAGAGAACAAGAGACAGATATGATATATAAGTTACTCTGGGAGGCCATAAGCATTTCTGTACAGATGGGTTTTGAGGAACTTCTTAAACAATTGAAGACAAGAGGAGAGTCTAATGGGGTAGGCAGGCTGTTCCAAAGAAAATGAGATGCCTGTGAAAAGTCCTGCAAGTGTGAGTTATCAGTAAGGATGTGAGCAGCGGACAAGAGAAGGTCACTGGCAGAAGAGAGAGAGAGACTAAGAAGGGGCATATCTATGAATCAGTGAAGGGGCTAGAGTTGACTAGAGCTTTATAGGTAAGGGTTAGTATTTTCAATTGACACCTATAGGATATAGGAAGCAAGTGAAAAGGATCGACAGAGGGATGAGGTATGGGAGTAGCGACAGGTGAGAAAGATCAGCCTGGTGGTAGCATTCATTACAGATTGCAGCAGGGCAGTTCAGCTTCTGGGGAGACCATCTAGGAGAAAATTACAGTAATCCATTTGAGAGATTACCAGAGCACGAACAAGCTCCTTCGCAGCATCTTGCATAAGAAAGGGGCAGATGCGACAATGTTTTTAATTGGAAATTGACAGGTTTTAGTAACATGCTGGATTTGGGCTGCAAAGGTGAGGCCAGGATCAAAGATAACACCAAGACAATGGGCTAGCAAGGACGGACTGATGCATGTACCATCAACTTGCAGGGAAAGCAAAAGAGAAAGGTCAGCATTATGAGTAGGACAGATAAGCTCTGTTTCAGAGAAATTGAGTTTCAGAAAGTGGGACAACATCCAAGCAGAGATTAAAGGCAAGTGGTGACACCTTGTTGGACAGTGGGAGAGAGATCATGGGAGGAGAGATATATATGGGTGTCATCGGCATACAGGTGGTAGCAGAATCCAAAGGAGAGGCTTTATACTGCCTCTCTCAGCAAGTTTGTGAGAGAGGCAGTATAAAGAGAAAACAGAAAGGGGCCAAGAATTGATCCTTGGAGGATTCCAACCGAGAAAGGATGAGGAGAAGAGGTGTCATTGGAAAAGGAGACACTGAACGAACATTGGGAGAGCTATGAGGAAGACAATGAAAGGACACTGTCACAGAGACCGAGGGATTCAAGAGTTTGAAAAGAGAGGACATGATCAACAGTGTCAAAAATAGCAGCAAGGTCAAGAAGAATTAATATGGAGTAGTGGCCTTTGGATTTAGCTGTGATTAGGTAATTTGTAGAGTGGAGGGGGTAGAAGTCAGATTGAAGGAAGCGAGCCAAATGAGTAAAGACAAGTATTTCTAGAAGCTTTGAGTAAAAAGTGAGCATTGATATGGGACGATAATTGGAAGGGAAAGACGGGTATACGGATGGCTTTTTTAGAATGGATACGACAATAGCATGTTTAAGGGCAGTAGGGACAACACCATATGAAAGAGAGCCATTGAGGATGTAAGTTAAGGATGATACAAGACAAGGGGAAAGAGATCTAGTAAAGTGGGAAGGTACGGGATCAAGCAGACAGGTGGTGGGACAAGAGGAGAGGAGAAGTGCAGACACCTCTTGTTCAGTAGCTGGGGAGAAGGCCTAAAGGGTAGGTAAGGTACGATCCAGGTGTGGTTGCGGGAGAGAGGAGCAAAGGAGGGGCATTCTTACCTTAACTGTTCAATCTTGTTGGTAAAGTAGTATGCAAAGCAATCAGCTGCAAGGATAGTTTGTGGGGTGGCTTGATGTGTGCAAAGGAGAGAGTTCAATGTATCAAAGAGACGCCTGGGATTGCGTGTGCATAAACTAACAAGAGAGGAAAAGTAGGATTGTTTACCAAGGGTGAGGGCCGTGCTATATGAATGCAAGATGAATTTATAATGGAGAAAGTCTGACAAGGTACAGGACTTCCTCCAGCAGCTTTCTGCAGAATGGGAGTATCTCTGCAGGTAGCAGGTTGACTTAGTGTGCAATGGTTGGAGGCGCATCTTCCTTGAGGTGCATCTTTGGAGCAGGGCTGCAGTGTCCATAGAATTAAACACTGGGTAATTACATAATGTAAGTTATTTTCTTTTATTAAAGCTAGTAGATATTAATGACCACAAATACCCAGTAAGGTTCCCATATTGTTTGTTTATTTTAACGAAATAGCGCTAATAACATTTGCCACAATGGATAACTGTTGCAGGGGAAAAGGGACTGCAGTGTGTGTTGGGTGAGACAGGAGTTGTTGTGTGTGTGTTCATTGATAGATAGGAGCTGTTGTGTGTACTTGGGTGATAACTGCTTTAGTGTGTGTTCGGTTGTGATAAGGGCTGATTAAATTTTGTATTGAT